TCTGTGGCGAAGAGAAGGTTGAATAGAAATGATCGTAGCGTAGATTAACAGTGCAATCCGTGTTGAATTGAATGCCCTTTTATTTGTCGGTAATTAAATACACCACGGGTTTGTTTGAACAATCTAGTACTTTTCGTTGGCGTTTGAGGAAAGGTTTTTGTTGTTTATATATTTCTCTAACACAATTAATCTAACGACTCATCATTTCCTCCCTGCATGACGCGATGAATTGATTCTATTCGGGGTAACGAGTCGATTTGAATAACAATTATTGTTTCTTTGTTTGTATCGTCTGAATGGTCTGCCTCCTATATTCTGCCTGTGCTGTCTCAATTTTTGCCTAAATGTAAAATGCACATTTGCATCTTTCCACTTGCCGACATGAATAATGTAAATATACTTTGCGTAAATATAAATGAATCTCTCATTACACTCGCGATCGTATGCGCACGTCGTGAGCGGAATAAAACAAGGTGCGGCCCTGCAGTTTCTTTCTCGGTGCTGGCGGAGGGCCTCCACACGAGCAAACGTTAGAGGGTAATTGGCCTACCCTTCCACGTTGGCCAGGCGTGTTGGAAAAGGTGGCCGTGTACCCACCCTTTACCCCACCGCCACGTGGCCTCCCGATAGACTCGCCTGCGGTGTGAACCCATTCTATACGGCTTGGTGACCAGAGTCGGCAGGGGAGCGATTGAGAAACTCGCACCACCGATTCCGCACCTCCGATTCACGCGATTGGCTACGTACGGTGTGGAAGAGGTTCAACAACACATGCTTACGACTGCCGTGCCGGAAGGTGGAATCAAGCCGGGGACCTCTCGATTGCAAGTCCAGTGCGCCAGAGGTCGCAACCGGGTACCCGATACCCGTACCCTACCAGATACCCGGCTACCCGTACCCGGCCGGGTACGGGTAGCCGGGTACCCGTTTGCGACCCTGGTGCGGCCGGGTACGGATAGACCGTGAGTCACTGGTGAGTAACTGTTTGTCACTCATTTCCCAACGTCTTGTCTCTTCTCACAATTCAAGTTCCTAGAATCAACCCACCCGCGCCTGCAACATGGCTTCATCCCAGAGGTCGCAATCGGGTACCCGATACCCGTACCCGGCCGGGTACGGGTACGGCCGGGTACGGGTACCCGTTTGCAACCCTGGTGCGGCCGGGTACGGGTACGGGTAAGGAATCAAAACCCGTTTGCGACCTCTGCAGTGCGCCACTGCGGCAGCTCCCCTGCGAGCGTAAACATCCATTTAAATCGATTAGTTATTTCGTGCCTACGCAGCAATATCGTAAATTATTTAACTATTATTTTATAACACTTTAAAAATCAAACATTGTGAGAGCGATACTGTCCTGGTGCGCAGCGAGAATGGTGGTCTTCCCTGGATACTGAAACACCGACGCTGATTTTATCAAGCGAGGACTGCCAGCCAGGCTGTGGATGAAAGTAATTTGTCTGTTACTGTTATCGCCTCTTATTTTTTTTACTTATTTCATTTTACTTTCGGTGAACCCAAGCCGATATCAAGACAGATCGAAAGGACTGCCTTAATACATTTTGGCTTTTCAATTACTTTCCTCCGCAAGGGGCGACCTGAGAGCGAGAGATACCAAAATGAGAGAGAGTGCTCCGGAGTAGAGGGGAAGAAGAAAACTATTCGCAAAATGGGAATAATCCAAGTGGCCTTGTGTTGGAACCAGTGGTGGCCCGGTCATTCAGGGCCTGCGGCGCCAGGCCCCACCAGCGGAAAAATTAATAAATAGCAAATCCTGCACATTGTAAAGTGAATAAACTGCAGATTATTCAATGCTTTACACTTACTCAAGTACAATTTTGCTCATAACTCTGAACTGGAATGCACCTTCGATTAGCACGGTGGGCTACGTATGGTACATTAAAAGTTCTCCGTACGTAAAAAGGGCCGGTGTGCTCGCTAGCCGCCGCTGGTAAACACTCGTCTAGAAAGACAAAGTGAGTGTCCGGGCCTCTGTATCGAGTGTGACTGTGACTGACTGTGTTGTCTGTGCTCGTGTGCCCCTTTAGGGGCGATTCTGTTGAGGTATTGTGGAGACACTGACCCTGGCAAAAAGAAGATTGATGCTCGTGGTTATCGCAGGCTGCAGTGGTTTACTTATACGATCCATAGTTTTGGTTGCATGGCCGCAATCGTCCGACCGTGACTTGTATCTTTAATTTTTTATTCATGAAGCAGATGTGCTCAGCGGCCTGTTGATGTTGTCATGTGGTTGGTGGAAGAGAAATGTCAAAGCCTGGAGGTGCGATGTTTAGACGACGTCAGGGCCGGTTGCGCTTGGCCCCTTTCCTTGCTGTACCCTCCTACTCGTGCGCTTGTCAATTACCGCGCTTGCAAAGTGACATACAGATGCCGCCTCCCTCTCTGACCTGCGCAGGCTTCCGTCACTCCACATATATATTACCCAGCAGCCACCACTTTACACGGCAGAAAGATCAACGGACATCGGTGTGTTGAGGATGAATGCTACCCCAACCGCCTGGTTCACAGTGGACGCTAAAATATCTGACGTCGTTCAAAACGAGTAGGCCATTGTGTGCCGGCGTCGTGGGCCAAATTTGCCAAATCTGAAAAATGTTCTCGCAAATCACTCGATTAGGAATTGCAATCAGCAGCTGTCGGGCCCCGTAGTGTGAAACTACTACCATCGTTTGTGCTCCTTGGCAGGCACAGGGGAGGTCGTTCGAATCTCGACGCCCAACTGATCAGTTGAACTTGGCTGCCGTGTGTAGCTTGTCGATGGTCTAAACGCGGTTGCAAAAAAATGGCGAAAGAATCCCACTGCGTTAAATTCGTGCTGAACAACGCGCGGGAAAATCCAAAAACACTTGGGGAGAAATGTCCTTGAATTCGCGTTTAGAACGTGGGAGGAAGACTGAAACCCTACTGTGCGTACCATGGGATGATGCTCAGCGCCGTGATCTCCTGGGTACCCCGTAGCCCACCTCCTACAACGCCCGGCAAGCCCTGGGGATCATGTACCGATCACGCTCAGATTTGATGACAATCGGAAGCTTTCCGTGCGACTTTGTCATTGGGAAATCTTCCATACGGATCGCACGCTGCGTTAACGTCAACCTCCTTCCTTATACTCCGTGGACGCGGAGCCGATTTGTGCATCGAACATCGTTTTGCGCGCACAAGGGCAGTCGGCCTCCGTCACCTGCGTGTTCGTCACCGAACGTACGTGTGCAGCGCAGTGAAGCCTACCGCTTTTGCCGTGTTGCACACAACAAGGTTATTTAGAGGCTCCAGCGTTTTGCACGCAGCCAGTTCCATTGGGATTCCCCCCCTGAATATCAGTGGCACGTTCAACTCTCGGGCCCCTCTCGGCAGCCTGACCCTTAGCCTCGGGCCGTTCCATGCGGACGAACGGGGTGAAGCGGGAATGCAGGCGGCTCTCGCACCACCTCCCCCGCGGCGCTCACCATCTGGCAAGAGAGCTAAGAGCACTGTAATGTCCGTGAAGTGCATTATATCCAATTAGCCGAGGTGAACTAAGGGTTGTAAAATCCCCCCCCCCCCCCTGCAATTACACTTTAGGATCTGGTAGTTATAGAGCGGTTGTATTTTGCAAAGCGTTATGGAGCCTCGTTTTTGGGAGTGTTTATGCACACCTGCAAGGCTTATGTCTACATGTAATTTTTTATGATTCCTCATAAGCAGAGGTGCTTTGGTCTAAAAGCGGTTTTGATCGAATTTCAAAGTAAAAATTATTTTCGCTTAAAATTTTGTTCCATGCAATCTTAGTGTGGTGGCTGGAGGCGTAACGTTAGAATGCATTATTCATGCTTTCATCGCTCCCCTTAGGCTAGGAAATTCACAAATGGTAGCACCCCGCACCCCCTCCTGAGTTAGAGAGAATATCACACTGGGCTACTTGCAGGGGGGGTTATGCATCAGCGCTCTATTGCGTGTTTGATAGCATATGTACCATTGCATTGCGCTTACAGGTTCAAGCAATCACTTCAAGATGCGGTCTCAGAAAGCAAATTAGAGATATATCGTAGATGCATACCGCAGCTGTGCGTGTCCCGTGTTGTCTAATGATAACGCTCATTAATTGACCGTTGACACCTTAAATTTCGATTTAAAGCTTTCGTGACTGCAGGGATTCATCTTCTTGGTTCTTTCGGTAAAGTCACGTAGAATGGAAATAATAAAATTTAAAAAATAAAACATAATCAAATCATTCCATTCTACGTGACTTTTCCGAAAGAACCAAGAAGACGTTGACACCTTGATATATAGAGGACTGCAGAGCTTGGGGGGGGAGGGGGATTTGGCACTGGCTCACTGCTGCCTTTCTGCCTGCCTGTTGTTCTTCTGTGCCCACGAGTCGTTCTCTCTCTTCGAGAGCGAGCGACTAATGTCCGGCGTGTTACAAGTTGATACCGTTCGCAATATGCGTTTGCAGTTTCGATCGTGATGAAAAAAATTACTTTTAAATCAGCGCCAAGCTCCGTCGGTAACATTGACCTTGTATTTACACACGTAAAGCGATTACATTAGTAAAACCTCAAGCTTGAGTTGTAACTGCCCCGGCAAAGACAGTCTATGTTTGTCCACTATCATCTGCAAGAGAAAAGAGCTGTTTGTTTTTCGTTTGAGCGTTTCCTTTAAATTTGCAGCTTCGTAAAAATACGTTTAACACGTTGTAGGCTTTCGCGACCAATATTATTCATAATAAACGTTTTTGGGTTAGATCGCGTTGTTTATTAATGTGTCGTAACCCTACCCCACTAACACCACACTTACTAACACCCGCACTTATGAACACCTGCACTTAAGAACCAGCTTCCATGATTTTAAACTCGAACTTGCACATTTCATAACACCGACCGTGCGGGCATTTAAACGCGGTACATTATTGTTTTCCGACTTACGAACCGTTCGACTTACGAACGGGTCTCGGGAACGAGTTACGGCCCGTGACGCCGGCCCGCCCTCTGCACCCTCCGCAGGCGCTGGTGTGCGACGTGGAGGCGGAGAGCGTGTCGTTCGGAGTGAGCGTTTCTCAGCACCCGCCGGCACCCGTGGCTCTGCGGTCGTTCATGGCGCGCCTCGCTCCACTCAGCGTCCAGGTGAGAGTCGGTGTCCAGGTGAGGTTGATGAAAAACAGAAATGAAAATGCAAAGGCGAACTAAAATATTCGGGGTCAACTAATTGGAGGTCACAAGACATCTGAACCACCCTACGGAGGCGGCAGTGCAGCCAAGTCCATTGTTGTACTCTACTTTCTATGCTCCCACATCTATGCCACCCACCTTCAACCCGCACTGATCAGCGTGGTGAAGTATGATTTGGCCCTCATCCAGCAGTGGATTGATAAAAGGCGCCATGGTGCGTGCGCGTACTTGCTGCCTCTTTTGCGTGTTTGCAGCAGCAAAAATGTACGTGATTCAGCGAGGTGCCTGGCACGTTGCGTGCGATGGGGGTAAAATGCGAGCGCCATTTGCTACCTATTGAAACCTCCCAGTTAGATCAGAGTAGAGCGTAAAATAAATGTCCCTTGGCGGAGCGGGAGCCCCTGCTAATTCCACGCAGCCGATTCGGCGTCCGTCTGAATATCCTCAATGGAGAATGTATGAAGTGCGCCGCAGTGGTGAGATGTTAACGACCTTACCTGGTATACAGGAGGTTGTGGGTTCGATCCCGACCCTGCTGCTGTATATTTGGAATTTGCATGTCTCTCTCCCCGTGGTTGTGTGGAATTTTCTCCGGGTCCTCTGGTTTTTTCCTCCACACTTAGACTTTTCGAGTGTCTGCTATAAATTTGCACATGGTAAGCCACTAGGTTGAGCTATCATTTGTGGCCAGGTAGCTATGTAGCTCGGCGAGCTTTACCCGGTAAAATAAAATATCTTCTTGGTTCTTTCGGTAAAGTCACGTAGAAGGGAAGTAATAAAATAATAAAAATAAAACATAATAAAACAATTCTCACGACGTTTCGGCCACAACGCAAGCAGCCGTCCTCAGGTGAAAACCTGGTTGCATTGTGGCCGAAACGTCGTGAGAATTATTTTATTATGTTTTATTTTTATTATTTTATTACTTCCCTTCTACGTGACTTTACCGAAAGAACCAAGAAGATGAATCCCTGCAGTCACGAAAGGTTAAATCGAAAAATAAAATATGTTTAGTTTTCAGCCGAGCAGGCTGCGAGGTGTTCCCACAGCTGGCGTGCAGGCCTGCCTCTGCAGCGCTTTGTCCGAGATAATGATCGGGAATGGCTCGGAGATGTGACCGATAAGCACACCCAGCCGTGATGAGTGTGGCGCCTGCCTCGATTGGTGACCTATGCCGGTCTGTGGGTTGTGCACCGCGGTGAAGCCGCCCTCACGCACGTCTCACCTCTGCTCAACCTTAAGCACATTCATACTCTTTGGTTCTTTTGGTAAAGTCACGTAGGTATAAAATAAAATAAATGTATTTTCTACCTACGTGACTTTACCGAAAGAACCAAAGAGTATGGATCCCTGCAGTCACGAAAACTTCAAATCTAGACTTAAGCACATTTTTATTTTATATTACAAGGTAAAGCTCTGGTCACAAGTGATGGCTCAAACGAAGTGGCTCATCATGTGGACATTTATAGCGGCCAAATACTCCAAAGGCGTGTTTCGAAATGAGGAGGGAAAAACCGGAGGACCCGGATAAAAAAATTCACACGACCACGGGGAGAACATGCAGACTCCAAATGCACAGGCGTCAGGGTTGGGATCGAACCCAGGACCTCCTGTATACCAAGCGAGGTAGTTAACATCTCGCCACCATGGTGCCCCTACGGCCCAAAGGTGGATCCACTGCTGGATGAGGACCACCTGACTCCGTGTGGGTTTCGGGCGCTTTATTTGACCGCACTTGGGCAGGCTGGTCAGTGAGGGCTGGTGAAGGCATAGATGTGGGAGCGTAAAAGTACAACACAACGATCGATTTTGATGCGCTGCTCTTTGCTGCCCGCAGCGATGTCACAGCCTCCCAAGCGCCTGTGTCAGGCGGGCGTGTGTGGTAGCTGCTTATCTAAGCGCGATCCAGGCTCAACTCCTCCTGAGCTTGTAAGATCTGACAAGATTGGGCGCATTCCAGGCGGTTTACTCATACGCCGGCACACCTTTACGATGTGCACAAATATCCCCAATAATTGTTTAATGGGTGTGGATGCCATTGTTTTTTGGCATTAGCTTAGCAAGTCATATTTATACCTGATGGCATTTGTTCTGGAGCATTACTAAAGTGTGCTTTGAAGCTGGCATTCGAGAGAACAGCCGGTCACAAGAGCGAGCGGATCTTTACGCGCTGACGTCAGGCGGTCCTTGGCGAATCGCTTGCGAACGGCGCTATCTTTTCTGCCCACACGCTCACAGCTGGTGCTGCAGGTGGAGGAGGTGAGTCCGGGACAGGTGCTGCTCACCTGGAAACCCACGACGAAGCCCCAGGGCCTCAGCCTCACCCTCGTGCCCAGAGGGCAGCGGGAGGTACGTAACCCAAGTGCTTCCACGCCTCTCGGTCTCATCATCCACGACGATGCCTCGAGGTGTCACCCAGCAATATTAGTGGGCACATCGCGGTTAGTCGATCAGCGGATGGCGTGCAGTGGAGTGAAGCGTGTGTCCTCCCACCTCGTCCAAGACAGTTGGATGGAAGTGTAGGCCAAGTATTCTCTACAGCGGCTCTAGAGGTCCTTTTCATGGAGGTCCCTTCTGCCAGCCCGTGGCATGAGCAAGTCATTGCAGGGCTGTACCTTTACCTTTCGTAACGTTAGGCTCTGTGCGACTGTGTATGGGAGGAGCGGCGGTGGAGCGGTTAGCGCGCTGCGAACCCGGCGACGCGATTTCGATTTCTGCTCGGGGCCAGCACCGGTGACGATTATCTGCACTGGTCCTGGGCCTCTCTTAGGTCGACTCGGCCTCCAACGAGTGCCTGGTGTGGTGTGTAAACATCGCCACTGGGGAGACAAATGTGGCTGGGTATGGTGCTGGCCACCCACCCCCTCGTGTGCCCTGCCGCCCTTCATAGTCGCTCTTCATAGTCGCTCTCTAACAGCACTTGCCCCCATGTTCTGTTAAAGGCTATACGGGGGATCTTTGTCTTGTGTGTATGTGTGTGTGTGCAGGGAGCAGCGGGTGGCAGTGTGGATGTGCCCACAGTGACCCAGCTGGTGAAAGACGCCATCCTGGGCGCCCAGCCGGCCGTGCTGCTCACGCTCAGCCCCTACCGTGCCGCACAAGTGGGTAGACGCTTCACGTCCCGCTTGAGCGACTATTGCGTCAATTACTCGTCCGAAGGGCGACGTCGTTCGGTGGTTGAACGCAGGGCGCGGGCGACAAACCCGCACCCTGCGCGGTGCCAGAAATCAAACCTAAAGTATTCGGGTTGAAATGCGCCGATGGTTTAACGCGCACTGCATTGTGGACCCGCATATTTGAGTTTGATTTCTGGCAGAGATAAGGGTCCGTTGCACCGGGTGCTCATAGATCGGTCGTCGTTGAAAGCGATCCGAGTAATCCGTATTGCTGCTGGATTGTGGAATGATAATAAAACGCTCGGCGGAGCTTGGGCACGGCGGGTAGCGCACTGTACTGTGAACGTGGCGAATCGATTCAAAATACATGTTTTGAGTTTGATGCCAGGCCCACGGGTAACACCAGCGGAGAGTGATATTTGAACGGTTCCTCGCACTGACCAGCACGGTGGAGTATGGTCCAACAAGACGACGTGGGGAGGTCTTTGTCTAACGGCCGTCAAGTGGGGAAAAACCCCACGCACCAAATCACAAGTACAATGTGCAAATTCTTAAATGGAATAGCTTGGACAAAAACCGCGTCATTCTGGTGCAAAACCGCGACCCGCAAGCCATCGCACGGAGCGTGCATGCACCTCGCAAATTACCGCGACGCGGTAATTTGCGAGATGAAGCAAAGCTGCCAAATACCTGCCAAGGAGTGGGACCCGCGTGGTCACACACACGCACACTCACACACGCACAAGCACGTGGGTGTGTGAGTGGGAACACTGTGGGCGACGTGTCCTCGCGTGAGTCTGTGCGTGCTCGCAACCCATTGATCCGCGACCGCTTCCACTCGGCCGGGCTTTCTTCTGAGAAACGCTGTTTCCCCCCCTTCCCCCCCCCCCCTCTCGCTTCCATTAACCAGCATTAGCGCCCGGCTGAGCCTCGGTGTAGGAACCTGCCAATAGCACTCAAGCCGTCGTCCCCGAAGTCCGTTTATGAACCGCGCCGACCGTTGAAATCAATGAGGGGCACGGGATTGTCCGTCACGCGGAGAGTATTTTAGAGGTCAAGTTCTCGCCGCGGGCCAATGTTGCTGATGCTACCGGACATCATCATCATCGTCATAATTTCCTTCCATCAGCTAAAAGCTGCAGCTCTTAAAAAAGTCTGCACCCCCGACCTCCAGGATGAGTTTCGAATTTAAATAAAAAAAATGAAATTGGAATTTCAGATTTTTTTGGAACGTTTTTTTTTACGGACCTGTCAGTGCTTATTCACGTTTTGGTAATGATATAACGCGCCTTAGCTGTTCTTAAAAGTGGCGTCACAAAATGTCACGTGACACCACTTTTGGCGGGAAAAGCTCAGACGTGACGTCAAGTTAATGAATTGTTTCGGAGGTAGTTTTTTGTTTTGGATTTCCAGAAATGACATCGAAGCAGCGATGAGACAAACACCCCTTGCCATTTGGAACTCCAGGAGAAAGCAGTGCACTGCCGTGTTTCGGGCGATTTCCCTGGAAGATTACAGCACAGGACTTCTTCTGAAGTTCACTTCAATTGACTTCTTAATCCATGTTAGGGGCACGCTCATTGTACGTCCTGCGAAGAGTGTAGCTAACTCGTCGATCAAATTGGTGTTTTGAATTCGCTCGGCAGCAACCTACGATTTGGATCAAACGCTTTTGGATGCTCGTGAACAACAAGAACATTTGCTGTCAGTGCTGGTGAGGTACGGTCGAAAACCCTCGTGAATTTTCGTGGCCGAAATTAACAATGACCAGACGACCACCTCGATAAGCTGGGGGAGGTGGGGGGGGGGCGGTGTGGGGTGGTGGAGGTTCGGGGTTTGGGGTGGGGGGGGCTAGAAACAATCCCTTGGCAGCTCGCCACAGCAGCTGCTGCCGCCGCTGTGCTCCGTTGTGCCGTTTGTGCGCGTAGGGCGCTGGGGTCAAGCCGGAGGGGCTGGTGACGTCGCCGCCAAAACCTCCCCGCCTCGTCGACAAGAAGCTGCTGCTGCGGATACAGTCGGCGACGGGGGCGCCCGCAGGTGGGAGCGGGGGGGCGGGCGGGGGTGGACGTGGGGGGGGGGCGAGGGGGGGGGACGGGGGGGGTGGACGCGGGGGGGGGCGGGCGGGGGTGGACGCGGGGGGGGGGGACTTCCGCTGCACGCTGGCGCAATAAGCGGTGGTCGCTCTCAAGGGACCTAGAGTCACCTCCGTTGTCGGTGTCGCATCAGCGGCCTCGGGACCGCTCTCTCTCAGATTCCCGCAGCGGCACTTGTAGCGCTGGCCGGCGTTCACGCAAGAGGCACACTTCGACCACCACACCGCTGCTTGCCTCCCACGTCTGCTCGGCTCTGGAATCTCCCCCCCCCTTCCTCCATCATCTCTCTTCCCAAGTTCTTCTGATCAGCCGCTTCGTTGAGCTGTCATTTGTGGCCAGGTCACTTCTGAAAAAGAGCTGTAGGTCAGCGGGCTTTTCCTTGTTAAATAAAAATAGTTTTTTTGTGATTTGCTTAACTTTCCTATACTTTGCACCCACCTCTACTGGACATCTGTGAAAAGATGTCTAGCTCATCAGATTCCTGCAGTGTAAATAAAGATTCAAAACACGATAGTAGTGGGAAGCACAAGAAAGGCAAACAAATCACCCAAAAACATACAAATAAAACTAAACCATCCCCATCCTACCAGGCCAAGTCCACTGATGTATCAACTTATTCTTCAGAAACGACCTGACCACAAATGACGGCTCAACAAAGTGGCTGACCATGTGCAAATTTATAGCGGCTAAATCATCTCAATGCATCTTTCTAAATGTGGAAAAAAACGGACTCACCTGGATAAAAAACAAATATCCACGCGACCACGGGGAGAACACGCAAACGCGCTTTGTGCTCCCCTTTCTTTTGATAACATCGACCGTGCACAGCGAGGGAAGGGGGGCCCTGCGTGAAGTAACATTTCCCCACGCCCCCGTGCAAAGCGGCGAGTAGTGACCTTGCGTGGTGGTCTCGCCGGCGCTTGCAGGAGCTGGAGAGCTGTGCTGTCACGTGGAGATGAACGAGCCGTCCCAGCAGCACCGTACGCGCCCTGTCCCTGGCACCACCGCCAGCCACTCGTGGGAGCAGAGCTTCTGCTTGTGAGAGACGCACACCGATCGCTGCACCCACATCTCACTGGTACCACCGGAGCACTGGTTCTACTAGAACACTGGTTCCACTAGAACACTGGTTCCACTAGAACACTGGTTCAACTTGAACACTGGTTCCACTTGAACACTGGTTCTACTTGAACACTGGAACACTGGTTCAACTTGAACACTGGTTCCGCTTGAACACTGGTTCTACTTGAACACTGGTTCTACTTGAACACTGGTTCCACGAGAGCACTGGTTCCACTTGAACACTGGTTCCACATGAACACTGGTTCCACTTGAACACTGGTTCTACTTGAACACTGGTTCTACTTGAACACTGGTTTCACTTGAACACTGGTTCCACTTGAACACTGGTTCCACTAGAACACTGGTTCCACTAGAACACTGGTTCCACTTGAACACTGGTTCCACTAGAACACTGGTTCCACTAGAACACTGGTTCCACTTGAACACTGGTTCCACTTGAACACTGGTTCCACTTGAACACTGGTTCCACTTGAACACTGGTTCCACTTGAACACTGGTTCCACTTGAACACTGGTTCCACTTGAACACTGGTTCCACTTGAACACTGGTTCCACTTGAACACTGGTTCCACTTGAACACTGGTTCTACTTGAACACTGGTTCTACTTGAACACCGGTTCCACTTGAACACTGGTTCCACGAGAGCACTGGTTCTACTTGAACACCGGTTCCACTGGAACACTGGTTCTAGTTCACAGAGTGTGGTCCCCTGGCCCCACCAGTGGAATCGTGAGTTCAATTTCGATACCTCGTTAACAGTGGGGCCACATTCAAACATTGGTCCACGTGAAGCGGTGATCCACATTTCATCGAATTCACGCAATTCTTGACCGATCCAGCCATGACCTTCACAAGTTGAAATTCTAGAAATCCTAAATTGAGATTGTGGAAATAACAACCAGATCATCGACCACGTGGTGAACCAACCACTGTGAACTTTGACAACGGGGGCATTGTACATCATCTGAAATCATGGTTTGGCTAAACTGATTTAGGCTTGAGCTTATCAGTCGCTATTCATCCGGTCATACTCGCAGAGAAAGATTGTACCAATGTCACCATTGTGCACATGAGCCAATACTGAAAGTTCATTATCACCGCAGTCATTCATAAACACACTGCCTTTTGTCGAAACAATATACCAAATTATTATTGTTATTTGGAGTGGGCAAAGATACACAGCAGGTGGAAGGTTTAATTAAAGTGGGAGGCATCATTTTTAAATTCAGTGGGCTTGAAAAGGCTTAAATTTGAAAAAAAAAGCAATCTAGAAAGCTTCGCTGCTTCATTGCCAAGAGCTTAGCCAGAAGATTAGAATACAAATTGAAACCAGGAAAGAGAAACTGATTGTGAAACTAATGCATCGCATTGTTTGCAATAGAAAGTTTTTTTTTTAAATAATGTAACAAAACACATCTGATCAGGAAGGAGCAAGCGGTGCAGTGCACTATTAACCTAGAGTTCAATTCCTGGCCACTCCTAACATGATCAGTGGAGACCAAACTATTGCCTGCACCAAACCACACTGATCATTGGGGTGAAGTACGGTCAAACAATCTCCCACGACCAATGGTGAATTGACAAAGGGCTGTCAATAATCATTGTTATATTTATAAATTACCTAAGAAAACACGTGTTAACACAGTGACCAAACCACTATTGGAACCTCCGTTGCCAGTAGCAAAATATGATCATTGGTTTTTTACCCTTTTATCTGGCAACTAAACTGACACCTTTTTTACAAGGAGTCATGTTTGCATTGACCACAATACCTGCGGTCGGAATGCAAACAAAAAACACAACTCTGATAATGTATGCACTGTCCTTTAAATTGATTTGTCCACACCCGAGAGACAGCTTTTCTCAGAGCCTAGTCTCACATGGTGTTGGACCAGATGTGCGTATTTTGGCGTCATCGTTTTGTTGCCAGAAAAAAAGGGTAAAAAAACAATTAACAGTGACCAAAGTCAAGATTTCCTTGTGCAGAGGAATACCCACTGATCGTTTGTCTTTAGAATCGTAAACTAAGAATGCGCTGCTCTGCCAGTAACGAGCCCAGCTTGCAGGCATGGTCCAAATCATGCCAAAATTAAAATATTACTGTACTCGCAAATTACTTAATCGGAATAACAAATGGCAACATCAGCACGACTCGCAGGCTAATGCCCACACGCAGGCCACTGCTGCGTTCAACTTGTTCCACGCAATTGCCGTGTAGCACAAATGCGGGGGATTATTATCGTCATCGACGGCCGATACGTGTTTACTCCCGACCGGCTTCTATTCCCAGTGACCTGAACACGCGCTCCAGGGAAATCCGACTGCGGCTGCTGGACACCTCCAAGGGAAAGGAAGGTACGTCCACCCAAGGGCCGCCTTTGGCCACTGCGTGTGCAACTCGCCGGTGCCGGACATCTGTGCAGTGCCCCACGTCTGTTGGCTTTGCGGCGTACGGCACGACCTGCTTGTATGCTTGTAACAAAAAAAACCTGTAGAGGTAGTTTCGGTGGCTCAGAGGTCAGAGCTTTGAGCTGTGACTCTGCCGAGAATCCTGGGTTTGAATCTGGGTAGGTGCTCGTGATTAAGCTGCTTTTATCAATTGTCGTGAGTTGACGGTGCGTGTCTGGTTTTCTGATGACAACACGCATATTTAAAACGACAAAAACAGGGGAAATGAAAAAATCTTGTGTGTGCGGCAGAGTTTAGAGACTGTATGCTGCTATAATCGTTCGTACCAAAGGCTGAGGAACAAAGAAATAAGAACATTACTGATGTAGAAACATTATAAAAGGGCTGCTGTGGTTTGAACTCGGAAAGAGAATGAAAATGTTCGGAATACAAGTACTGGAACCACATACTTGTGTAGAGGGAACGAGAATATTTCGCCGCATTTGTGCTTTCTGTAGCACCAGTGATAATTGACAAGTTAATCGCAGGCCTCCCCACCCCGTGCCGGCTTGCTCGTCGGAATGCGCGTGCGTGCGGGTACCCGCGAGAGCCGCCGTCGACAGCTGCCACTGCCGCCCGCGCGTGTCCCCGCAGGCGTGTGCATCGGCCGTGCGGCGGTGCCGCTGGACGTGGGCAGAGCGCTGCCGTCCGGACGCCACACCCTCACCCTGCTGCCCCCGACGGCAAGCCCGACCGATCGAACCCCGTCACCCCTGGCAGCGGCCGCCAACGTCACCCTAGAGGTGCGTGTGGTGCTCCTGCTGCTACCGACGCGGTGGCGAGATGTTAACGGCCTCGCCTGGTATACAGGAGGTCGTGGGTTCGAGCCTGACGCCTGTATATTTGGAATTTGCGTGTCTCTCTCCTCGTGGTCGTGTGGATTTTTCTCCGGGTCCTCCGGTCTTTCACTACAAATTTAGAAACATGCATTTAGAGTATTTGGCTGCTACAATTGTCCACGTGATTGTACGCCTCTTCGTTGAGCTATCATATGTCGCTTCTGAATAAGAGCCATATAGCTCAGTGGGTCTTACCTGGAAGAATACTTTTTTTTTAGTTTTAAATAGTTTTACTTTAGTTTCATCTTGGCACGCTCTGCTGATTCTCTGAGCGCTGTGGGGGAGTTCCCCTCTCCCGAGATGGAGCTGCCAGTGGGGCTGAGTTCACCTCGCTGCAAACGGCAAGACTGGGTGGAAGGAAAACTCATAGAGAAGAGCCCAGGCTTTACTACAGCACCAGCTGTGCACACGGTGGGAATTTAGACCGTGTTGTTCTTCCACATTTGGGGTGGCACAGTCGTTGACGTGCTGCATTTTTAACTCCGGAGATACGAGTGTGATTCCCAGCCCTGATTGACGGTGGCGGTTCAAAGGGTGGGGTGATGGGTGGGTGAATGCCCTCCAACCCTTCTTCACATCCAGAAAATTGGTATTGTTTTGATGTTTAAAATAAAACTGCATTGATTGTTCTTCTTACATTAATAAAAAAAATATCAAGTACAACTTTTTTATTTTACCAGGTAAGGCCCACTAAGCTTTTAGCTATTTTTTTTTAGAAGTGACCTGGCCACAAATGATAGCCCAATGAAGTGGCTTATCATGTGGAACTTTATAGTGGCCAAATACTCGAATCCCATGTTGAATCTAAATGTGGAGGGATAAACTGGAGGAGAAAAATCCACGCAACCACAGGGAGAGAGACACGCCAACTCTGTATATACAGCAGGCATTAGGGTTGGGATCGAACCCACGACCTCCTGTATACCAGGCGAGGTATTTAACATCTCGCCACCACTGCACCCTAAATAAGTTCTGGACTGCCCGCCTACCTTGGAAGGTTTTGTAGATCTGTGTCTGCTAGCTGATATCCGTGGCGATTGATATCTGGTCCAGCCCTTCGCGACATACCTTACCCGCCCCCTTGAGCAGTCTGTGGATGTAACACTTCACCCGCCGTGTATGTATGTTCCCGATTCAGAGTCGTGATTCTGTACAATAATTGATCAAAACAAATTACACCGTGATTAATGTCGCTGCCTCTCGTGGCTGGATGGGGGGGGAGGGTCGTGTGGACCCAACACAGAGTTGTGTACAGCCCTTTGTCAATATGTTTGGTACCACGGTGGTGAGATGTTAACTACCTCGCCTGGTATGCAGGAGGTTTTTGGTTCAATCCCGACCCTGATGCCTGTTTGGAGTTTGCGTGTCTCTCTGTCCCCCCGTGGTCGTGTGGCTTTTTCTCGAGGTCCTCCGTTTTTCCCTCCACATTTAGAATCAACGTGTGTTTTAGAGTATTTGGCTGCTATACATTTACACATGATAAGCCACTTAATTGGGCTATCATTTGTGGCCAGGTCGCTTCTGAAAAAGAGCTACATAGCTCGGTGGGTCTTGCCTGGAAAAAATAAAAATAGTTTAGTGTTTTTGTTTAGTTTCATTGCTGAATGCAGACCCTGCCCCCACAAGCCGTGTCGGTGACGGGGGTCGCTGATGGGGGTCGCTTAACCATATTTCACCACGCTGATCAGTGTGGCTCATGTGAAAGGGCCGGTTCACGTATCGCGTGTCACTAATGTTAGCCGTGTCCAGGAATAGAACTCGGGGCTCCGGGTTCAAAGCACGATGCACCCACCGCAGTCGCACCACTCCAAAACATGCGACTTGAAAGCCATCGATTCTTACTCGTGTGATACGGTGCGAGCATCATGAGCTTAAACATGAATCGACAGATCACTTAATTGTGACACCTACAATTAGGACATATGCGATACCTGTGATTGGTAGCTGATTGAGGATAGGTTTTCCCCTTTTTGCTGGCAACAAAACAGCTGTGTTAAGATATTAAAACACCAAACTGAAACCTTTTACAAGGAATCGTGTCTGCATTAACCACAATGCTTGTGGTCAGAATGCAAACAAAAAACATACTCTGACAGTATATGCATTTGCTTTGAAACTGATTGGGCCACACCAGAGACAGCTTGTGGACCAATCAGTTTCAAAGACAATGCATATATTATCTGAGTACGTTATTTGTTTGCATTCTGACCACAAGCATTGTGGTTAATGCAGACATGATTCCCTGTAAAAGGTTTCGGTTTGGTGTTTTAACATCTTAACACAGCTGTTTTGTTGCCAGCAAAAAGGGGTAAACCTATTCTCATATTTTGGTACTGGCAAAGGAGGTCCCATGATGATGAAGGTAGCTGATTGTGTGATATAACCTACTCGTGCTGAATGTACTTCATAGCTGTTTTATGAATGTTTAACACGTAGGCTTTCGTGACTAATATTATTCATAATCAACGTTTTTGGGTTTAGATCGCGTTATTTATAAATGTGTCGTAACCCTCCACCACCCGACACGGCCAATCAGTAAAAAAGTGTCACGTTGACAAAAGACAATTAGTTCACTGCTTTAGCCCACCGGTGTGTTGAAGCGTGAAACCACAACAATTTACAATTTGAGTACGACGTTTCGCTGGTAATTGCATCCAGCATCATCGGGCAATTCGCTTCAACACACCGGTGGGCTAAAGCAGTGAACTAATTGTCTTTTGTCAACGTGACACTTTTTTACTGATTGGCCGTGTCGGGTGGTGGAGGGTTACGACATATTTATAAATAACGCGATCTAAACCCAAAAACGTTGATTATGTTTTATGAATATTCGTATCTACAGTATACACACATTCTCTGTTCAGAACCACCCAGCTTGCCACGTGTGCACGCATACTTGCTGCATGCTCTCTCTATAATTAATCCGCGTCGGACAGAGTAGCGACGACGCGGCGGTAACCACGCCGGAGCCCGGTGGGAAATTTAACAAAACGGAAGTGGCTTGAAGCCTCCAACCCAATGATGTAACGTTCCTCTGACCAGCACAATAATGCTTGTACTCTAGCAGCAGTCTCCAATCCGTAGGACGTGACTCTCCCCGCACCCCCCCCCCCCCACCACTACCGTAGGATGTCACAAAGCCTTTCAGTGGGCGGCGCAGGCTGCACCATGGATACTGTGCAGGAGAAATGTTGGCAGCTAATGGGGAACATTGGCGCCACGTTGCCAGTGATGGATCCATGGGGGGATGGATCGTGTTGATCCCCGCCCCCCTTTCACTCCCTTGAGACCTCAAAATGGGTTTTAAAAAATAAATTGAATCTGTTTAATGTTTGTGTTAACGTAGGGGCACAGTAACCATAGTTGTCCATTCTGGACGGTGGGTGGGGTGATGAGGGGAGGGGCAGCGGTTGTGGGGGGGGGGCGCTATGCCAGTTGAGTGCCACTGCATTGTACAGCTCAGCGGTTCTTGCAGCCGCTAGCATTGCCACTTTGAGACCTCCTGTAAACTACCAGAAAGCCCCTTCTGTTGAGCCAGTGGTTTTGATCTTGCACCTGGTTTGCAATTTTGACCAAGTCTTCCCGGCCTCAACATGATCATTAACTTTAAAAAGACCTTATCACCTTACGCTAACGCACTCCCCAAGTCTAAAGGCACCTCGCGAGAGCATTCAATTCAATCAAATCCAGAGGCAAGAGCGCCCTCTACAGAACGCGTGTCTAAAATCACACATTAGACAACCAAGATTTGAACTCGCAACCTTGTGGCAGCTGTGCGGAGCGGTGGTGTGGCGCTTAGCGCGCTGCGCTACGCATCCAGTGACCTGGCTTCGATTCCCGTTCGTGGCTAACACGAGTAAGGATTATCTGAACCGGCCCTGCGCTTCTCCTATATCGACTCAGCCTGAAATGAGCATCTGGTGCGATGTGTTATTATTGCCACTGGGGAGACAAAGGCGGCCGGGCGTGGTACTGGCCACCCACATCCCCTTCGCGTGCCGTGCCGGCCTTCGTAGCAGCAGCACTTGCCCCAGCGGTCTATGAAGGCTGTACGGGGGGGCGTGTATCTTTGTCTTTGTGTGGCAGCTGTGCTACCAGGAGGGTGGGGAGGCGCGCTCCCCAGGGACGCTGGTGGTTTCGGGTCGCCCGGCCGCCACTCCCAGCAAGAAGGTGGAGATGGAGCGCACGGTGATGGCGGACGGCACCGTTGTGACCACCGTGACGACGCTGCAGACGCGCGCGGGGCGCGGTACGCCCAGTGGTGAGCAACGCGTGAACGCACGCACGCACGCGTGTGAACGCACGCACGTGCATGAACGCTCGCATGCACACGCGTGCGTGCACGCTTGTGAGCACTGCAGCAACCAAAAACGGCTGCTGCCGCTCGCCGCTAAGTGGCGGCGATATCGTCACGGCACTTGTGCCAGGCCGGAATCACTTTCAAGCCGTCGCCCCAAGTGTGGAAGGTCTCGCTGTGGCAGGAGGTCTCATGGGATAGACCCAGATGATGTTACGGGTGAAATTACCGGATGGATGGCACCGTTGTGCCCACCTTCCTGTGTTTTAGCTGTCTGGCGCTCTGTTCATCCTTGTTAGCATCACTCCTGTGCCTTGATTTCACCACGTGAACACACACACACACAGATGTTTCTATGAATCAGGGTTTGCTCTCTGGAAGGAAAGTGGAGTACGAGGATAAAAGCCCACACATATAAGGGGCTCACGCTCAAAGCACCCCACACATAGATTTAAGGATCCGTTGCTATGCTGCCATCTCCTGGCCATCTGGGAGCCCTGAGAACGATTGTTTAAGGGCGCTTTATAAATTATTATTATATTACAGCACCTGTAATTCCTCGGTTGCCTCCCATCCAAGTACTCATCATTATCAACCCAGCTTAGCTTTTGAGATCTGGCGAGATTGGGCGCATATAGCGGTTGATTCGGTGGGAGGCCGAAGAGGTTTGCGTTTTTCACCGAACACTTGGAGGAGTGGTGGCACAGCGGTTAGCACGCTGCATTGCGAACCCACCCGGCGACCCCAGTTCGATTCCCGCTCACGGCTAAGACCAGTGACGTTTATCTGAACCGGTCCTGTACCTTCCATAGATCGACACGGCCTCAAAATTAGTCCCTGATGTAGTGTATCAACGTCGCCACTCGGGAAACAAAGGTGGTCAGGTGTGGTGCTGGCCACCCTCCCCTCGTGTGCCGTGCCCAGGCTTCATCGATGCTACATGCTAACGGCATGCAGCATGATAATTGGTTTTTTACCCTTTTATCTGGCAACAAAACTGACACCTTTTTTACAAGGAGTCATGTTTGCATTGACCACAATACGTGCAGTCGGAATGCAAATAAAAACTGATAATGTATGCACTGTCCTTGAAATTGATTGGTCTACACCCGAGACAGCTTTCCTTAGAGCCTCGCATGCAGCATCTATGAAGCATGTTCAAGCTATAAGGGAGGGGGGGGGGGGTTGATCTTTGTCTTTGTTTGCTTTTGTGTTGACCACCACCGGCTCGCGTCCACTGTTTACGTCGCGCCTGTCACGGGACACGCGACCGTTTGTCTTCGGCGCTCGATGACGCCGTTTTGCGTCGGCTCTCGTCGGGCGCACGCGCGTGCAGACTCGCCGGCTCGCTCGCCCGTGAAGGTCACGGTGACGGAGAAGAACACCGTACAGGAGGAGGGGCCGGCGGCGGGGGAGTCGCAAGGCGGCGCCACCGCCGCTTCCGCCGCGTGCACAGGTCCGTTCCACCGCTGTCCCGCTGTGCGCCTAACACCGCTTCGTGCTCTTGTCATTGCACCCTGCCCCACGCGCCTGTCTCGTTCTCCTGCATCTTCTGCCTCCACCCGCATCGTATGTGCGTGCGCGTGGGGGGGGGGGGAGCGGTGGTGTCGTGGTTAGCGTGCTGCGCTAAGAACCCGGCAATCGGAGTTCGATTCCCGCTCACGGCCAACACCAGTGACTATTATCTGAACCGGTCCTGGGCCTCATCTAGGTTGGCTTAGCCTCAAATAAGCACCTGGTGCGGTGTGGAAACGTCGCCTCTAGGGAGACAGGCAGTCGGACTGTGGTTCTGGCCACTCACCCCGTCGTGTCCCATGCCGACCTTCATAGTGTGCTCGCTAACAGCACTTGTCCCAAACAGTCTGTTAAGGCTCTACAGGGGATCTTTGTCCCCTTATTCTGGGCCCTGCTCCTAACTTGTGCTTGGCTTTTGTCTTCATCTCAGCCCCATCGGGTTATATTAGCCTTGTTCCTTTTTACACGCTTTCTATTAACTCACTCTGTGTGTTGTTGTTGTATCCTCAAATCTTGTAACTCAATTTTAACCCACTTTCCAATGTGGTATCGACTGGAAACTTGGTATACTTATGTCGTACTGATGACACTACTCACTACTATATTCTATCATTAAAAAAAAAAATTGTAAAAATTTTTTTTTTTGTTATGTTTCGGCTTGGGTTTAATTGTCCACGCTCAACTGACGTTGGCTGTAAATCACCACGGTTCTTTACGTTATGGCAAGCTTCGGGGCCACTTCCTGGAGTCGTGGAGTTCTTCCATTACTAGAACGGTACATTTCATTAAAGCGTGTTTAAATTATTTTTTTTTAAATACAGTCAAACCTTGATTGATAAACGAGCGAGGTCTTGCAATACGAGTAGTACGTGTATACGCTTTGTCTGCCGAGCGTCACGTGATCACAACTGATATACGAGTGCTTTGGATTACAAACACGTTTCCGCAACGAATTATGCTCGCAATCCAAGGTTTTACTGTATTACTTGTACTCTCATCATCATCATCGAGGTGGATAAATGATCTGGCACCCGCACACCTGGTCCTTCGGCTCGATGTTCAGACGTGCCGTGGAACGGGCCTGGAATATGAACCCGGAAGAGGAACTCTTTGCTCGAGCAAAGTTGCACACCTTGGTGCGGCATCTCAGCGCTGACTCTCGGGCCTTGAGCCCCAGGTCACGTGGGATGCTGCATGTGATTGGTTGTAGTGGACGTCGTCAACACCCGCCGCCAGTAATATCCCTCCCCTTAAAAATCTCCGGGCCTGCGTTCCTCTTCATAGTTGTCATTCTGGTGAACCGTGCGTGTGTTGCTCTTCTCAAATTTTGGACTACTTGCAGTTCTTTTCCCGAGGTGTATTTCAGTTTCTAAAGATCCTTAACCATCCAAACCGAGTCGATATCTGCGACGACTCCACAACAGAGCTGCGCGTTAACGCTCGCTCGGTGACGATTGTCCGCCCGGCGGGGGGGGTGGGGGCGGGGGCGGCCATGACCCTCTGACCTTGTCGGCCGACCCAACCAGACGTGGCGCTGCAGCACAACGGGATGGACGCCGTGGCGGAGACGGCCATCAGGCAGCTGACGGAGTCGGCGCTGCGGAATACCAAAGCGACGCCCACCAAGCGCAGCACGCTCATCATCTCCGGCGTGTCCAAGGTGACCGGGGTGGGGGGGGTGGGGGGGGCCGTGGGGTGCGAGCCACGTGACGCGCTCCGGCAGCGGTGGTGGAATAAGACAAAACTAAAACTGTTTTTTTTTTTGCCAGGTACGGCCCCACTAGCTCTTTTTCAGAAGTGACCTGGCTATCACAAATGACAGCTCAACGGAGTGGCTTATCACGTGTAAATTTACAGCAGTCAAATACTCTGAACGCATGATGTTCATTCTGAACCGGAGGACCCGGAGACAATTCCACACGACCACGAATATACAGGCGGCAAGGTCGGGATTGAACCCACGACCTCCTGTATTCCAGGCGAGGTAGTTAACATCTCGCCACCGCGGCCATGGAGTGCGAGTTTGCCGCCCGTCGCTGAGGGTAGGGGATCGAGGCACATTGTCCACCCTGGTTAACACTGCGGGGTGTGTTAAAAGTCAAGTTGATGTCCATTACATTTTTTGCTTAAACACATGGCACCTTTCTGGCACCAAATCTGCCTGCCTGCTTCGTGGTGGACGTTGAAGATGCCATGACGCGATTCGTAAAAGCGGAGGTCGTTTGTGCCGGCGTCACTGGTCGTGCAAATTTATAAAAAATTTTAAAAGTTACCCTCTTGGGAAAACACGACGCTTAGCAATCATCGCCCCCGACTGCAAAACTACCGCACGGACCGTGTCTGTGAAACGTAGCGCCTTCATGACAGCCTTGCGCTGTAAGAATCGCGCGTGTATCAAGTGCACACACGATTTGATTGGAGGGAAGGAAAGCGGGGAAATCTGCCAGCAAACATGTCAGACGTGAGGCGGTACTGCCTTCCAGCTGCTTGTTCACACCACTGCTTGTGGAAAGGGCCTCGACGATAATAGCGGTGGAGATCCCCTCGAGAGGCTACCGGGCCTACCCTTCCACACTGGCCCAGATGGTCTTGGTAGAGGAGGGAATATACCGACACTTTACCCCACCGTACTGGACCTGCCGATCGACTTACTTAACCGCGGTTGCACCCCTTTATACCGCGGTGGGTGCCCAGAGGCAGTGGGAGGGTGCGGACTTCAGAAACTCGCACCATTGTTTCAACTGCCGCCCCTGGAGATGGAATCAAACCAAGCGTCCAGTGCGCTAATTATTACGATACCACACACACACAAAAAAGAAAACATTCACTTATTAATTAATGTAAAAATATAATAAAAAAGGCATTCATTGAATACGGCGCGTGCGGTGACTTTGCACCTGCCCCTCCCACCGCCCTGCCGCTCCCCACGCAGATGCCGCTAATCCAGGACGAGGCGGCCCTCTCGCAACTCTACTCCATGAACATGGACGGCGACGACGCGGGGCCCTCTCCGCTTCCGCACCACTACCACCACCACCCCTCCGCCGCCACCACATCCTCCTCCTCGTTGCCGTCGTCGGTACAGCAGCTGGCGCTGTGCGGCCCACAATCCCCGCCGGCCGCCAACTCGACGGGAGATTCGTCGCTGGACGCGGCAACGGCGGCGGCGGCGGCGACGATCGGGGCGGCGTCGTCCTCTCCGGCAGCGGTGGCGGCGGGAGGGCAGCCGTCCATGTCGGACGCCGACTCGGAGCGCGGATCCACTGTGGGCTTCGAGACCGGCAGCCTCAAGGAGCACAAGGGTGCGGCCTCCCCTCCCTAGAGCAGCAGCGGCAGAATAATAATGTTAATAATGTTTGCAGTTTTCTGGCACTTAACCCCTTTCCCGTTCCGGGACGACTGCAAGTTGCAGGGTGGGACCCGTTCACCGCTGAACCTCGGAACGCGCGAAGCGGTTCAGCGGTAATTTTATATAGGGAGGCGTGGCGCCGTTGTTTTTAAAGACATTGTACTCACCGCAGAAAACTGTAGCCACACGACCGCTGGCAACATACTGTGCCACACGCCCTCCCCGCATGGCCTTGTGGGAGCCTCGGTACCGATAAAGAAAAACTGACGACGTACATGTACGTCATAGGAACGGGAAAGGGGTTAAATGCCCCAGCAACTCAAAGCGCGTCACATGTCAAACACTCTAAGTGGACCCAGTAGTGGCAGCTGTCTTTGTGCAGTACATGGTAACTTAGCACCGGCCTACAAGCGGGGGCGTGAGTCTGCCAGTAGTTGGGCGATGATTGTCGCTACCTGTAATCCCAGTTGGGAATTTGAGTGTTATTTTTTTTTCTAAATTGCCAAATGGGCCATGTCGCTTGCGCTTAGTAGTCTGCTCATTTTCGAATGTCAAGGGATTTCGAACGTCCACTATGAAACAGATGGTACGGCGCGTATGTACTTTTCGGCGGTCGGATACTGGGAGTTGTGGGTAATAGTGCCATGAATAAGTGGAGTTTAATTGACATCCATTTTTTTTTATCCAGGACAGCTTAGTGGAGTTGAAACTATTTTTTTACGTGGGATCTTGCTTGGGATGGTTGCTTAGTCTTCCCCCTTGTTATTGGCCAGTTCTTTCTTGGATAGGTGCCACGTATGTATGTAAGTGTGTATGCATGTATATATGTTGAACTTCTTTCGCACCGTACATAGTCCAACTGTGCTAATAATAGTTGTGACGAAGGACAACAAATTAAGCACAAAAAGCAGTACACAAGGTAATAGCTGACGGATGTAAATGTTCATTATGTTTAACTACTCTCTCCCTATAAACTATTAAAACTTTTTCATTTTTATTTGACTAGGTAAGGCCTCCACTCAGTTATAGAGCTCTTTTTCAGAAGCGACCTGGCCACAAATGATAACTCAACGAAGTGGCTTATCACGTGCACATTTATAGCAGCGAAATGTTTCTAAATCTGGAGGTAAAAACCGGAGGAACCTGGAGAAAAATCCACGCGACCACGGGGGAGAGAAACATGCAAACTCCAAATATACAGCAGGCGTCAGGGTCAGGATCGTATCCACGACCTCCTGCATACCAGGCGAGGTAGTTAACATCACTTCCCGCTCTCCACCCCCCCTCCCCCACCACCACCTCCCCCTCTGCAGCCGGATTCCTGCACGGTGGACTCTTCCGTCGACGGCACAAGAAGAAAAAGGACGCGGGTCTGAGCCAGTCGCACAACGACCTGCCCAGCATGGGGCCCGGGCACACGCTGGTCGCGGGGCAGACGCAGACGCTGGGCCCGGGGCTGAGCCACGTGCTGGCCAAGCACCGCAAGACCTACACGCTCTCGCGGCTGCTGAGCAAGCGCTTCAAGGCGAAGCACAGGGAGAACGGCAAGACGGCGGCACCGTAGAGCGGCGCACGGACACTGCGAGGCGACCGGTGCGGACCTCGAGGGCGGGGTGGGGGGGAGGCGGTTGCGAGAACTCTCCGCGACCGCTCCTCGCGCAAGTCCGACGTGACCAGAGAGACCTCATTGCGGCGCGGCGGTCTTCCGAAAGCCGCGGATTAAAGTTACCATTCGCCGTGGGGAAAAAGAAACGGAGCAAAAAGGACAAACGCGGGAGTCGTGTTCGAAGAGGCGAGAACCGCAACGCTCGGGTGGTGTTCGTAATCGGCCGGCGTCGCTGCAGTTGACGTGGCAAAACGGCGCTTTACCCCCCCCTCCCCTCCCTGGCATGGCCGGCAGGTCCTGCATCGGAACGGACGGCTCCGTTTGCATCACGCCGTGGCTTCTTCCGAGGTTTTGTCTTTTTGAAAGGAAACGAGAAGCGACGTTGCAGGAAGCACAGAGTGTTATCACTACGGCGTGCGTACGCGCGCATGGCTTTGTGCCACCCGCAGCTGACTGCACGAGCCCACATGCTTTACTTTAAAACTAGCACGTAGCGGTGTACGCAGACGTCCTGAGGATGTCGGCCAAGGCAGCCCAAACCCCCAGCGAGCAGTTACTTTTTCGACACGATTTCTGCTCTAAACTTTTGACACGAATATGCAAACGTATAGGGGGGCACGCGAGTGAATCCCCCCACACGTTTTGCGTGGGCATGACGTCATTACCTGCGCAAAACCCTTCTGCGTCCGTACGGGGAAACGAGACGTACTCGTGCACCGCACGCACGCGTGTGCATCTTTGCACAAGCAATGCGCGAGTTTTCATTAAGGAACAATTTACCCAAAGGCATGCTCAACTCGTTGACGGTGTGAACGCATGCCAAGTGTTCTTTAATGTTTTACTACGAGGGACACAATGTACCCGATCGTGCACGCATGCCCTCAACTCATCCACTACAGAAACGTCTTACTTTGTGTGAGCAGGGTGTGAATGACCCAGCCCGTCGCACGTAAACTGAGAGCGCACGTACGCACAGTGCGCGCGTGTGTGTGTGCGCGAGCATTTTCGCCATCAACACACGCACGCACACACAATTAGCAGGTGCATGTTCAGATGGTAATCATTCATTTTGCACTCCTTTCATTTTTTCTAAAAGATGTAAAGGTGCAGTCCTTCAATTTACTAACTCACTCCATTGCTGATGGAAGGGAGGGAGGGAGCTCGCGAGAGCGCCTCCAGAGGGTATTTGGTCTGTTTTAAAGCTTTCGTGACTGCAGGGATTCATATTCTTGGTTCTTTCGGTAAAGTCACGTAGAAGGGAAATAATAAAATAATAATAAAACAATAAAATTCTCACGACGTTTCGATTGCAACTCAAGCAATCATCATCAGATGTGAAAACCACTGCAAGAAAATTTTAAAAACCGCCACTTTTTTTCAAATTGTATTATTTCCCTTCTACGTGACTTTACCGAAAGAACCAAGAATATGTGGCTCACCCGTTTCGACTGCTGGGTGGGGGGACGATTTAAGAACTGCCTCCGCCGGGAGATCAAACTGAACCGGCGACCCCTGTGATGCAACTCCAGTGCGCTCACCCTTACACCGCGGCGGCACGCGCTCCCCGACGTTAGCGTAGACGGTCACAGACTGGCGACTGCCTCTGTTCGTTTGGCCTGCCTCACTCTCCGATTGACGCACGTGCGAGCGAGCCCGGTGGGCACCTCTGCTGCGGCCCGGTTGCGGGGCGATGGAACCACTCCTCTCTAGAACGTTACCCGCGCGCGCGAATCCCCGAAGGGAGACGGAGGATGACTCGGGCCGAGGGATTTCTCTCTCGTTGTTGCCGGCGATGTGAAGCGGGCTGAGAAGCACCGCGAAAGCGTTACGGCGGATTGACGGCCGCGCAAGCTCGCCCACGCGAGTTCCCATTTCCGCCCGTCGCCGAAGGCCGCGTCCGTATCACCGAGCACGTTGAACTTGTTTCGCGCCGGACTTAGCCAACCGCGATAATCTTAAGCGCGGGTGCGGGGGGGGGAAGGACAACTATCGGCGTAACGCTTTCGCGGCGGTACTCGTCCGCTTCACCTCGCCGTTACCATCCACCCGGCAGCCTCCCGCGGGGGAGGCGAGCACAACCCCCTCTGGGCTTGCTACCCGCGGTGGCTTGCGCCCCTACGTGCGCACGACAACGCCTCGCGCCCACGTGCGAGAGAGTGTGAGTGTGAGAGCGCCGATGTGAGAGGTGACTAACACAGGACGCCTGCGCCAGCCTCTCCAAGTGCCGCCCCCCGTAGCTGCTGGGTGCTCGGCACAGAAAATTCCCCGCCCCCCCCCCTGCCCCCCACCGAGCGTGCCCGTGCAGCCGGCGCTCGCAGGCAACGTTCTCAAACAGGCAGAGGCGACGCCGAATGGCAGCTTTCATCGTACGAATCGCCGCCGCCTCGTGTTGCTCCTGAAGGAGACGAGAATAGTCGTGAAAAATACCCATCATATCAAACCTATAGCCAGCCTGATATTCGGGAGATTTCTTCACGTATGTATATTGTGTGTGTACACAGTCGCTGTGTGTGTTTGTATAGATGTAGTACTGTACGTACTTGTCAGACTTAACTCTCCAAAACAAAAAAGTGTCGGCGGTTTTACCTTTACTACAGAGGTTGCGACGTTGCGCCTGTTTGTGATGCAGTGGCCGGGCAGCCCGCTCTCGGTGTTGTGCTGCGGTGGTTAGGGGTCAGGAGGGTACACATGTTTTGGGAAGGAGCCGCTCTGTGCAGCTATGCCTGGAGCGTGCATCCACGCGACACCGCAGCGTAATCGAATGCACAGCCCGAGGGAAATAACGATTCGATGCTTTTCGCGTGCAAACGAGCCTTTTTGACAAAGACTACATTGTTGACTTGTACGCAGGCAGGAGGAGACGATGCAGCTGTAGGTGCGACCAATGCCAATTGAACGCTCTTAAGTGTCCGTTAATTCTATTGGATACCGGAGCGTGAGCGATAGTGGGGGGGGGGAGCGGAACGGGCATGTCTTTGAGTTGACGGGACGGGCATGTCTTTGAGTTGACGGGACGCGGTACTAAGCCATAGGAAGGAGAACGCAGCACGTGGATCGTGGCCGCGGCCCCCCGCGAGTGACGCTCGCGCTCGGTTGGCACGAGGAGGTGGGGGGCTGGGATGTACGTGGGTGGATCACGGCAGTCTCGGTGAAACGAAGAGAAATCCCGTCACAACGCATCATGCGGAAGTGGGGGGGGGGGCACGCAGGCAGTGGAGGGATGCGTGTTTTACACACGACACCAGTCTGGGGCAACTGCGTCCATGTGCTCGGACTCGTGTGCCAGTACTACTTGGGGGGGCGGTTGCTCACGTGAGCGATGATTGCGTGGTCTTCCAGTTCACCGTGGCCGCTCTCCGGCAGGCGTGACGCTCGTCGCGTTTTTCCACACCGTCTACTTCCAATGCCTCTTCGCCCTTTTCCAAACAGTGCTTTTTTTTGCATTGTGTTTTTTTTTACTATTGTAATGGACAATATGCACTTCTCTTGAACAGTGCATATTGGCGTCGACCTATATCATGTAATCGTTTATTCAACACGACGCAAGGCAGAGTTGTCGAATAACAAGCGGGGAGTCGGTTTTTTAACGGAGGCGTGCGATAACGTGTATCGGTCCATTTAATCGGTGGGAGGGGCGGTGGTTGTCGATTCATAACAGATGCACGAACACATACCCACTTCTGAAGACGTTGTGAATATTATTGATTTTTCTAAATCCATATCTGGTGAGCTTGTAAAGATATTCGCATTGATCGCTTTCAGAATTGTCGGATTATAAACCACCCAAGATCATGCCACTTAAACATCTCAGTCACAGAAGCTGTGATATTTCACCAACCTTAGCATATTGTGCAATCTCCCGTCCGCATTGGGATTTCATTTTTTTTATCATATGCATATGCTGTTGGGGAATTTTAACATTGCACTGAAACCTTAATATGAACAAAACAATATAATAAAGTTGACGTTGATTATTTTCTTTTTTTAACTTTACATTTGCAACTTCTCACATTTATCTCGTCAAGTCTGTTGTGTTTGTTTTGATGTGTGGTTTTGTTTCGGCAATGTTCCCAGTTACGTCAGTGCTCAATGTTCCCCCCCCCACACCCTGCTTTTGCCGTACGAAGTATGGAAGAGTATAAACCTCACGTAGCGGAACGCTAACCCATCCTGCTTCCCTGCTCCGTTTCTCCCGGTGCATGTGGAATAGAAAATGTGCTGCTCCTTAACATGTTCAGATTTAAGCCCCCCCTCTCTCTCTTGAGAGATAGAGCAAGAGAGAGCTGCAGTGATTACCGACGGGCTTTAAAGGTGCACGCATTGGTGGCCTTTTGTCGAAAACCATCGTCGTCACACGCAAAGTTGTGCCGTGGCGAACTTTCGTAAGGTGGCATCACAGAGACACACGTGGCCAGTGAGGGAATATCTTGTGATCAAATGTTGAAATTCCGGTGGTTTAAGTTAATATTATCTGTGGGTTTTTTTTCGTCTTTAAATGTTGAATGTTGTGTTGTTCGGGGTAAGCACTATGGCTAGTCATCGCCACTGCGACTGGGGGGTTTATGATGCCTTGGCTGTCGGTATTTTTAGGATGGAGACCGATGGCATGAATTGTACCCCAAAATGGCCTGGCCGGGCGTTGAGGCTTGCTTGCGTCGAAAGAGTGAATTTTGTACATAAATAAATTAAATACTTCAAAATGGGTTCAATATGGTATACCAATTTAGAAATTAGTCAACTGTAATTTTTTTAAACAAAATATTTATCTGAAATTTAGTTTGTTAGAGCGGATTAAATATCAAATGTTGGCATTAAAGCCTCCTTTTAATATCAGTACATTTTTTTGGGTGGCGAAGATAAAGATTTAACGAAATGTGTTCACACATTTAACCACGTGTGAGGGAATGGAAGCGCTTCTGTTAACAGTCTAACTACATCGAGGGCCGCTCACAGGTGGAGCGGGGGGAGGGGGGCAAAAGGGGGGATCTTCCCTGCGCCTCACGCAACAGAGGGGGGCCCACATCAGGGTCTATGTTGGTGTGGAACAAGTCAAGTCCACGTGACATTCTGCCCCCCCGGGCTTCCAGGGACCTCTGGGCGGCCCCTGCCTACGCGCGCCGCCTGCGTAAGGCACAAATGCAAGTCCCGATGGAATTTATCGAATGACTAATCGCAAAGGAATAATTTTTACCCAGTGATGATTAAATAAAGGCACCATCGAGTGACTTTCACGAATTTGGCACCTGGAACGACGGTGATAAATGTTGGAACACATTTGTGACGAGTTATATTTCAGCAGTGGTGGAAGATTGATGATAAACGATGATGGTGATGACGATATTTGCACTATATGGATAATGCTACAGCTGTTTTGCTGTTGGCTGCCGATTTTAGTTTAAAGTTTATTAAAGGGGCCCATGTGATGCATGCATGTCAAAGATTGTTGAAATAAACATGTTTTTGGGGCATCGAAAAACAATAACGTGTGACCTTTAGCGGAATTTGCTTTGTTGTGAGATTATCGCGTTTCACTCCAGACAACTTAAATCTCAGAGAGTTCGGTTGACTCTATTCCAATCCTGTGCAGCATGTTTTACTTAATAGTTGCCTCAATGTTTCAGCTGTGAAATCAGTGTGGTTGCTCCTAAGGTTTAATTGAGCAGTCGCATTGTGATTTGCCACTGCACGATATTCGCATTGCTAATATCTCTCCAGCACCGTTATGCGCCACCAGTGCTAAGCGGTGACATTTGCCACATTCTAGACTTGAAGCTTTCGTGACTGCAAGGATTCATACTCTTAGTTTTTTCGGTAAAGTCACGTAGGTAAAAAATTAAATTAAAATTAATAAAAAATAAAATAATATTTTTTTTTCATTTTTACCTAGTTTTTTTCGGTAAAGTCACGTAGGTAAAAAATGGAATTAAAATTAATAAAAAATAAAATAATATTTTTATTAATTTTTATTTCATTTTTTACCTACGTGACTTTACCGAAAAAACTAAGAGTATATTTGGCACATTTTTGGGGGGGATTGTTTTAATGCACGAGAGCAGCTTTGGCCGATGTGTGACATCAACGTACTTGGAGACGGACTCTCGTCCTCGTCGAACCTTAATCACGAAACTCTCCACCCAATGGGGTTAAAATACCCAGAATTTCCATGTGTTATTGAAGGAAAATGTCCGCTGCTCAGACAGATTTTGCCTTTTAGTAAAAGCATGCAACAGGGATGTTCTGTTGAAACATTCCGCGTGCTACGCCCCAGGTGTACAATACAAAACAGGCGAATGTGCGTGAGTTACCCCGCAAATTATGATTCGTAACATCGAGTTCTGTATGGCTTCATTAAAGTTGAATGTTTGTCCAATCGAAAAAAAAAAGCAATTCCCAAATGTGGATCGTACCAATATTTTAACCATTTACGGTACATGTATATCGTGAAAGCAATACCATATAGCCTCTTATTATAAGAACGATATACTTAAGCCATGGTTACAATTAGCACCGTGTGTCGTGGGCCGTCTTCGTGTGCTGCACGCGTCAGTCAGCACATCGCTTTGTCTCGGTGGAGCCGATGTATCTCGCCGTGTCTCGAGAATGCACATTCATATCCCGTGTACATGTTGAACCCAGTTGCTGATGTGGAACGGTCTTCCGAACACTAAAACGCCTCCCCTCCCTCCCCCCTGCAAGATCGTGGAATGTTCCATCGTTGATGTCCACTTGTAGAATCAGTAACTGCAGCAGCCATGCAGGGGGAAGTGGGGGGGGGGCTGACATTCTGTTGTTGGTGGGTTACTTCCAAAACCTTTATATCGGATGCGTTGCGCGCACGTGTAAATGCATGTACCTTGAAATTATTTCGCACCGTACGTAGCCAGCCGCGTCTATCGGAGATGCGTGAGAAGGAGAACAAATTAAACGCAAACAAAAACACATTTCTAACGAGGCGTAAATGTTGGTTTTGACGCAATGGCCACCGCTTTGTGAATTAGACGGAACCGCATTTCGCAGTCGGCAAAATCCACACCGCGCGTGCACCTGGATGTGTGGTTCCCGAGGAGTGTCGGCTGATGATGTGGTGTCCGTGTCGTCGTCTTCTGCGTCGTGAAGGCTGCAGCGATAGCCCGCGGCGTCGGCCGGTGCTGTCCGGGTCCGAATGAAGTACGAGGCGCGGACCTCCTTGTGTTGCCCCCCCATTCCCCCCGCAGTCATCGCAAAGCAGAACTCCACCGTCACCCACCACCCCACACACGTAAGCAGGAACACGATGGAGCCAGTCGGCCGGCTGGATATTGGGCTTTCCACACCGATATGATGCATCGGCGTTTGTTTTACCTCCTGGGGTGGGGAGGGTGGGGAGGGGCTGGGTGGGGAGGGTGTTGGAGGAGCTGGGTGGGGAGGGGAGGGTGGGGAGGGGGAGGGTGGGGAGGGTGAGGAGGGGCTGGGTGGGGAGGGGCTGGTCACCTCGTGGTGCCCTTATAAAACTCAACGTTTAACCTACTCACGCCGGCTTGTGCCCGCCCTCATAGTCGGGCATATTTGCGGAATACACCACGCCGCCGTTGATCCTGGCCATTGACCGAGCAACCCAACGTTCCTACCAGCTCCCTCCGCAGGAATGTGTTTATATTCGCACATAAACGTGCGCCGTACGTTGGAATGCGATGGCGGTGTGGCAGAGCCTTTATGGCTCGCTCGATCATTTTCTGAACACTGCTCGGGCTGGCTTGGAGTCGGGGATTATCGGCGTAAGGCACTACCACTAGAGTACAAGGCACACCTATCCATAATATCATCTTATACTATTGTACACTGTGTCCCTATAATCCTATGAAAATGTTTATATAAATAAATACAATTATTGGGATAAAATAAAATACGAGATGGATGTGGTGTGCCATCATCGTTCCTGGAACAGCGTTCCGGATTGTTCCGGATGAAATTAAGAACTGACCGTGTCACTCACGTTGAGGAACACGTGGATACATTACACGATTGCGTTATTCATCGCATCAACGCTTTCGCACACTTGTCATCTGTCAAAGAGAGGCCTTTCCCCAATGTGCATTTTCAAAACGTTCTGAACACGCGCCCTGCTGATGCTGAGTGGTCGCTTGGTTTTCAACTGAAACGCAGCTGACATTTCGTGCGACTATTCCCGTCCAGCACATTGCACTCCATCCCCTCGTTTATTGCCTTCACGAGCTCGGGACTGCACCCTCCCCAATGCTGGAGAAACGTGCGCGCTGCTGCTGCTGATTGATGATGAAGCTGCCGATGCTGCTGATGATGTCCGTGCTTTAATCTCGGATCTGAGTTTAATTTCGCGTCGCTTGCGTGTACATTACCCAGGGGCTGGCACGCCCTCGCTGGACTGCGTTGTTCTGCTCTGCTTGCCACGCGTTTGACTCTGCGCGTCAGTTTTTGGAGGCGCTTATCACGACTCGCGATCGATGTTTGGGTCGTGACGATTGCCCCTTCGACTCGGCGGCGAGCTCCGACGATAACAATCGACGCGTCGGTAAAACCCCCAGCCCCAGGTCACACCGCGTGACAAATTGCTCTGGCTACGTTGGGTTGGTTGGAAGGGAGGAGGGGTGGGTGGGGGTCTTGACGACACGCACGTGGGTCGGATCGTCACGTAGCCTAACCGAAAATTAAATTTCGACTCGTCGTGATGCGCTTGTAAAACACCGCGGGGAGGCATCGGCAGCCACGCGCGCCCCCTTCTCGAAGTAAGAGTGGCTGACATGGGGAATGTTTGTGTCGTGGCGTGTGGACGGATGAGTACGGTGGTGGTGGTGACTGAAACGGAAAGAGAAGCTCGAATTTTGCTCTGGAATCTCGAACCCGATTGATATGAATACAAAGTGTCACTCACGACAGCGTGCGACGGTGGCTCTTTGTGTGTTCTCTGTCGATGTCTCTGCAATTCCACGCGCATTTCCCGTCAATCCGCTGCTGGATGAGGGCCTTCCACGCATACACGGGCATTATTTGACCATACTTTGCCACGGTAGTCATGACGGCAGCATGGATGTTGGAGCACGGTACACTTACAATGGGGACTGAGTGTATTCTTATGCACCGAGCTCTGCAGCCAATGCATTGCATACAACACGTGTCGATGAACGGCGGTGTCACCCGTTCAAGTGCTGCCCAGGCTAGAGGCTGCTTAGCTTCCGAGATCGGCTGCGTTCCGAGTGATTTGGTCACAGGCCACACCTTCACAATGCACACACATTTCGATTTAAAGCTTTAGTGACTGCAGGGATTCATATTCTTGGTTCTTTCGGTAACGTTAAGAAAAAACCGCCACTTTTTTTAAAATTTCTTGCTGTGGTTTTCACACCTGATGATGATTGCTTGTGTTGCAGTCGAAACGTCGTGACAATTTAATTGTTTATTATTTTTATTATTTTATTGTTTCCCTTCTACGTGACTTTACCGAAAGAACCAAGAATTAAAATGCACACACAATGTCCACAGCTAAGGTGCCAGTGGGTTGCTATTGTTTGCTATGAGCTTGGCGAGTAAATGAATGTTACAGCCCGACGGGGCAAATTCTCTGGTGGCTTTACTAAAGTCTGCTGTGAAGTTGGCGTTAAAGAGCCCCCGACACGAGGTTGATCGGTCACAAGGGCAGATCTGAATGGACTCCCAATTTGATAATAAATAAAACCATGGGCGGAGTTTGACCTCTATATTTCGGGGGCGGGGGGGGGGGTCAGGGGTTCGTTTTGTCTCACATTATAAATCGCAGGTGCATATAACACATTTATTTTAAATCTTAATTATAAACTACTGAACAGAAATTCATCAAGGTGTACAGTTTTGGCGGGACTTTGACCCCCCCGCCCCGTGCCCCCCCCCCACCACCACCCGCAAACTCCGCCCTCGATTAAAATCCCATTAACTATCACTGCACCAACATTGAAGTGGCTTGTGGAAACTACTAGAAACACAGCATTCCCACCATATATATTAATGCTGTTCTGGAAATAATATGAATTAACTGCAGCCCTCTGTCAATCCACTGCTGGATGAAAGCCTCCCCCCCAACACCACCGGGTTTAAGATCGTAGCAGGTGACAGAAATCTGTCCACGCTGTCCAGCACTGCTAACACAACAGCGCGCAGCGACCCAAGATGACCCCCACCCCCAGTCGTAGGCAATGTCGGAGCCAGGATAGAGGGGGGCAAGCCCTCCAGCAATGAAAAATGATAGAGGAGTTGTTAGTAAGTGAGGACTTGTCCCTTGCTTTTTATTCGACCGCGTGTGCGGCGATGGCACAGCCATCGATCCAGGGTCGAATTCGAACCGCGTTGTGTGATCGGCATCACGCTCGCTGAAGGTGAATGCCTTCAGAGCAAGTCGTGTAATGTATACACGACTGCGCACAAGTCTGAGTCACTTATAACTGCTTTGCCGTTACTTATTGCCAATTATGGACTATTGGCCTATCCTATGAGACATCTTATTTACCAGTGGCAAAATATAGTAGTAGGTTTTTACCCTTTCAACTGGTACAAACACTGACACCTTTGTACAAGGCATCATGTTTGCAATAACCACAACACAAGCAGTCAAATGCTAACAAAAAGAAACAACTCTGATGATGATAATGATATGCACTGTCCTTAAAGTTGATTGGTCCAACACCAATGGAGACTAGGCTCTAAGAAAAGCTGTCTCGGGTGTGGACCAATCAACTTCAAGGACAGTGCATATCATTATCATCATCAGAGTTGTTTCTTTTTGTTTGCATTTTGACTGCTTGTGTTGTGGTTATTGAAAACATGATTCCTTGTATAAAGGTGTCAGTTTTTGTACCAGTTGAAAGGGTAAAAAGCTACTACCATATTGGCCTATCATCTCAAAGAGTCCCTGGCACATAATAATTTGCTACACAGTGGCAGTGTGGGTCGCAAAATGCCGATTTATTACGAATAAACCCCAAAGATCCGATCGAAATTAGGGATTTCGATCGGATCATTGGGGGGGGGGGGGCACTTGCCACCCCACCCCCCACTGGCTCCACTAATGATCGTAGGGGGGGGGGAGGCTCAGTAGTCGGGCTCCACGTGCTCGCCCTCCAGCAGGTCTTGCACGGGAGGAGGCGCTCCGGTGTGGCCGCACGGCACGAAGCAGCGGCAGAGGCATCGTGCACACGGGGAGGACGCCCAGCGGAGCCACTCGTGGCGCGTGTCGGTGCAGCGCGCGAGGCGGCTGCAGCCGAGCTGCGCCGCGCTCGGCGCGTCGAAGGCGCCCGCGGGGCACCGAGGCGGACACCCGCCAGCCAGGCGTGCCATGTCCACGTCCAACAAGCCAGACGAGCAGGCACCTGTGGGTGACCCAACACCACCACCAACAACAGCACCAACACTTTTCGATTTAAAGCTTTCGTGACTGCAGGGATTCATCTTCTTGGTTCTTTCGGTAAAGTCACGTAGAAGGGAAGTAATAAAATAATAAAAATAAAACATAATAAAATAATTCTCACGACGTTTCGGCCACAACGCAAGCAGCCGTCCTCAGGTGAAAACCAGGTCTGTCGAGGCGACAGCGTCTGAATGAAACAGCACCATGCTTGGAGCATATATTTAAGCTGGGTTGGAAGGGGGGGAAAGGCGCCTTGACAAAATAATTTGCTTATCAAGAGGAATTCAGCATATGTATGGGAAATGCAGGTATGTGATTAGTACTACTTATGCCCGTGCATTATGCAGGACTATTTTATTACTTCCCTTCTACGTGACTTTACCGAAAGAACCAAGAAGATGAATCCCTGCAGTCACGAAAGCTTTAAATCGAAACCAAAAACGTTGATTATGAATAATATTGGTCGCGAAAGCCTCCATCGTGTTAAACAGATTGTAACAGACTGTCGGGGCAAGTGCTGTTGGGGAACACCTGTGAAGGGCCGGGCACGGTGTTTGCGAAGTGGGTGGGTGGCCAGCGCCACGCTCCGACCGCCTTTGTCTCTCTGGTGTGGCAGTGTGTTTCCACACCAGGTACTCAAGAGGCCCCAAATAATCGTCACTGGTTTAACACGTAGCAGGCTTTCGTGACCAACATCATCCATAATAGAGGTTTTTTTTCGTGGTTAGATCGCGTAAATATAAATGTGTCGTTAAACCAGCCACCACCCGACACAGCCAATTAGTAAGGGTCGTGAGAATTGTATTTTATAATGTTTATTTTTATTATTTTATTATTTCCCTTCTACGTGATTTTACCGAAAGAACCAAGAAGATGAACCCCATGCAGTCACGAAAGCTTTAAATCGAAATTTAGTAAGGGTTGTGACGTAAACATAACATGCCAATTCGTCGATAGTACAGCAACACCGGTGTGTTGGAGAGCACAGACAGATCTGGCGCTCTACCTGATGATGCGAGTTGTAATTGCTGAATCAGAATATATATCGAGAGCTTTCCGACAGACCTGTTCTTCACCTGAGGACGGCTGCTTGCGTTGTGGCCGAAACGTCGTGAGAATTGTATTTTATTATGTTTTATTTGTATTATTTTATTATTTCCCTTCTACGCGACTTTACCGAAAGAACCAAGAAGATGAATCACTGCAGTCACGACAGCTTTAAATCGAAATGTATCTATACTTGAGGAATCTGATGAGCTACAAAGCTCTCTTTTTCACCCGACACCGTAGGAGTTTAAGTGGAGAATGCTGCCATCCTCAAACCGGAGTGGCCCGAGAACTAAAATGACATCTCTGGGTGCAATTGCATCCTGGTGGTGGCGTTCTGCGCTAGCAAACTGAGCACAGGCTCAAAGCCCCCAAAGAGGTCAAGGTGACTCCGGAATTCGTGAACAAAAAAATTGGGGCGAACTAAATGCAAGCTCGAATTCGAGTCCTCATAAACGTCATAAAAAAATTAACCCATAAAAACAAAGTTTTTCACTATAAATCCTTTATATGCGTGGCGGCTAGAGTCCTCTCGTCCTCTGGCTTGAGATGGCTGCCAACTATGGGTCAGATGATTGCCTGCCACCATTAAGCAATTGGTAATAAAATATAATTTATTTTTTCCTAAAAAGTGTAAAATTTTGGGAAAAAATGTTCACCAAAATAAATTGTCACGCACAACGAGTCTGTGTGCAAAATGTCAGCTCGATTGGATCACGGGAAGTGGGTTAAAAAACGACCGAAAGATTTGCACGGTCGTAAGCGCGCAAGCAAGTGAACTTAATATAAAGGATTTAAAAAAAACAGTTCACTCGACCCATCATCCCTCTGTGGCCGATAAAGTCACTTCCACTTAGTGTGGAAGTGAACAGTGGTTGGTCCTCTGCACAGATTCCCCGCGTCCCACCCCGCCACGGCAGTGTGCAATCTCCACCGCTGACTCAGCAAGCGCTCTAAAGCACGAGTCGATGACCCGACGAACTCAAAGGCTCCGTTGAACAAGAACGTCGCTTTGGCCGACGCGCGCGCGCGCGCGAGCGAGCACCGTTCGCGCGAACTCTGCGTACGTGCGCAGGTGGGCTGGGGGCTCCAGTGCCCCGCAGGCAGGCACGTGCGAGTCGGTGCGCCGACCATGACGAAGCCCGGCGCGCAGCGGTAGCGCACCACGGAGAACACCCACCAGTCGTTGCCGTACGCGACCCCGTTCTGCACGTGGCCCGGCGGTCCGCAGTTCACTGTGGGTGGGTGGGTGGGGGTGAAGAGGTCGACGGGGCAGCTCGCAGTCTCCTTGTTTCTTTCGTACGGCTGATGTCGATGGGGAGTAGCGAGTTTCACATCCACGTGGTCAAGCCGGTATAGCCTCGCCTGGGGCGGCTGGCAGCGGGCCCAGCGGTAGTTCCAACCCGCCCATTGCCGCAGAGGTTGGAGGTTCGCGGTTCGAATCCGGCAGGCTTTTCAGGGTTATGATATATTGAAATTATTTTATTAAATTTTTTTTTTTACCTACGTGACTTTACCGAAAGAACTAAGAGTATGAATCCGTGCAGTCACGAAAGCTTCAAATCTAGAATTATTTTTTTTTGTATTGTTTTACTAGGTGAAGGCCCACTTGAGCTATGTAGATCTTTGTCACAAGCGACCTGGCTATCACGAATTGGTAGCTCAACGAAGTGGCTCATCGCGTGGAAATGTATGGCAACCAAATACTCTAAACGCGTGTTGTTGATTCTAAATGTGGAGGGAAAAACCGGAGGACGCCGGAGAAAAATCCTCGCGACCACGGGGAGAGAGAGAGAGAGGCACGTAAACCCCGAATATCCAGCAGGCTTCAGTCAGGGTCGGGGATTGAACCCACTACCTCCTTTACACCAGGTGAGGTAGTTAACATCTCGTCACCAATATTGCGTGAGCTACAGATACGCGTCGTCCGTTTCACATGGGACGTTACAGAATCCCCCGACGTCGTTCGAAACGAGTCGGCCGCCGCGGTTACCGGCGTCGTTCAAATTTAGCCAAATTCTAAAATTACCCGAAAATTACTCAACAAGATCTACATGAACGTTGTCCGCGTGCCCACGACGAACTCTCTCTCTAGATTTGAAGTTTTCGTGACTGCAAGGATCCATACTCTTTGGTTCTTTCGGTAAAGTCTTGTAGGTGAAAAGATAAAAACATAAGAATAAAATTGTGATTTTGTTTCTTGCTGTGGTTGTCCCACCTGATGACGGAAGCTTGTGTTGCTTCCGAAACGTCGTGATTTAATTTAGTTATATTTTATATATTTTTCTTATTATTTTTTTCACCTACGTGACTTTACCAAAATAACCAACGATTATGAGTATCTCTCTCCCAAAGCCCTCTCGTCGTGACGAGCAGACCCCCTGACATTGCCATTTCACTCCTAAACAGATTGCTGCTGCCATCGTACACGATAAGCGGAATAGAAGCTGTGGCAAGCGGTGGCTTTGGTGGGTTCCACCCCGATCGCCAAGGGACACCGACCCCGCGGCAGATGGTGGAGCGGCGCACAGCACACGTGAAGTGGAGCTAGTTTTGGTAAACGACGGGAGGGGGGTAACTCATTGCTGTGGAATGCACAGCAACGAGTACCTGGGAGACCAGCGGGTGAATTCAGAACCGGGGATCATGATGATGGGACTAACGGGGGCAGACGGTTGCGGGCAGGTCGGAGGTTGCTCTGGGATTGGTAGAACTTGAGATCGAGTATGAAAAGATTACACACACCAAAGTATAATTTACATTACATTATATTGATGTATGTACCGAAACTGAAAAAGCTTAGAGATGGAGGAGACAGACCCACAAACACATGCTTTGCATCCTTTCGATACAATCTTTGGACGCGTTATGTAGGGTGGCAGTGCCTGATTAAGCTAGTACGGAGCCTGTAGCATATGTTATAAAGGGGCCCTAAAAAAATAACATAATTGTGTTTTTTCATTTGCTACAACCAGTATTGAGCCAGAGGGCCGCCGTCCACGCGGACGTCCGAAGAAGCGATGGATGGACCGAATAAAGGAAGACATGAAGACGGTCAACGCATCGCCTGAAGATGCCCTGGACCGAGCCAAATGGAGAAGACAATGCCGAAAAGCGGACCCTGCGCCACAGCGGGAACAACGCTAGGAAGAAGAAGAAGATACAACCAGATAATACGATAAATCGCTAACCGTAAACACTCAGTCGTTCATCAAAGTTGAAGGCGGTATAGTACTTTAGTAATAGAGCAAGTGCAGAATCAGTGCATCGGAAAAGATAGCTTGAAAACATTTAGCGCGGGGCCCTTGAAAGTGCGGGGCCCGTAGCTACATATGTAGTAGCTACTACACATAGTGTAGTAGCTACTACATATGTAGCTACTTTTGCTACTAGGATCATCCGGCACTGTCGGGTGGACAAGAACAGGAAAATAAAAAGTGTGCTGTTTGGAAACACAGATGCAACCGGAAAGAGGAAGACCTAACAGAGAATGGCCTGACGTCGACATGAGAAGAGATCGGTGCCAGAACGATGTGGCCACTACTTGAGCAGATTGGCACAAGACAGAGAGGAAAGTGGAAACAAATGACGAAATGTGCAGTGGATACCTACGGGACCGTGATGATGATGGTGAATTAAACATTTTACTCCCAACCCACCTGGGGGCGCTCTTTCACCACCAAGGGACGATGTTTGATTGAAACCCACCGTTAATTTCTAATTTGCCTGATGAGACGCGAGTTCAAAGCAGTTGATATTTACGTGGTGGTTTCGATGACGAGCGCTGTTAAAGCTGTCATCATAACCATCCAGCTACGAGGGAGCGATTTTTTTCTGGGAAATGCCATTAAAATAGCGATTTTCAGGAAACAACAAACTGCCTTTAAAGGAAAATTTGACCAAGTTGGGTAAAAAAAACGGAGACTAAAATGGAATCACAGATAAATTTATGCCATAGGACTACCAATGGCGAAACAATATATAAGACTAAAGTGTGGAAGACGGATAGTGGGGAAGACGGATAGATGCCATGAAGATTGAGAACACGGAATGCTACCCCACCACCCGAGTAGTTGACCTATGGAATTAGAAAAGGATAACATAATCTAATGCTATATAAATATATGTGCCACGTACTGGAAGTTAGAACAAGTTCGCTAAATAATGGAAAGCCAGCTGACGGAAGGGGCACAACCGGAATTGAATGGGGACCGGGATCAGTTTTGTCAAAAAAAATAACGTGGCACACGAGAGCAGGTTAGGGGGGTGCTTTTGGAAAAGCTCAACTTGATAAATATAAAACAAGGAAAGATATAACGTCGCAGCGTGCCTAAGCAAGGCAAGTATTTTAATCGGTGCGTACGCACTACGATGTACTTTGACAGCGAGGCAAGGGGCGAGAGAGAGAGCGCACGCGCGCACTAACTTTGCCCAACACGTGAACTCGTATCCATCGCGCCTCCGACGAGCGTGCTTGACCACGTATGGTGCGAAAGAAGTTCAACGCACGTGCATAACGTACCCCGGCAGAGCGTCTTGCGTCCGACCCAGCAGCAGGCTCCGTCTCCGCAGGGGTCGCTCTGCACGGCGCGGTAGGGGTCACGGCAGTGTCCCCAGCACAGCGGCGAGCTGCCCTCCCAGAACTCATCGCGAACTCCAAGTGGCGGGACAGGCGCTGGGACCATCGACCGCACTCAAGATTATTTCGATTCTTTTTGGCCGCTCTGAGTGTCCCAAATGATAAGCCACTTTCGTTGAGCTATCATTTGTGGCCAGGTCGATTCTGGAAAAAGATAAGTTAATCGCTTTGCCTGGTGGGATGGGGATGGTTTAGTTGTAGTTCATAATCAATGGTTTTGGGTTTAGATCGCGTTATTTATAAATGTGTTGTAACCCTCCACCACCCGACACGGCCAATCAGTAAAAAAGTGTCACGTTGACAAAAGACAAATAGTTCACTGCTTTAGCCCACCGGCGTGTTGAAGCGTGAAACCACAACATTTACAATTTCACGCTTCAACACACCGGTGGGCTAAAGCAGTGAACTATTTGTCTTTTGTCAACGTGACACTTTTTTACTGATTGGCCGTGTCGGGTGGTGGAGGGTTACGACACATTTATAAATAACGCGATCTAAACCCAAAAACGTTGATTATGAATAATATTGGTCGCGAAAGCCTGCTACGTGTTAAACTTAGTTGTAGTTGTATGGGTAGTTTGTGTGATTTGTTTAACTTTCTTGTTCCTTGCAACTACCATCGTGTTTTTGTTGTTGTAAAACAGCTGTATGGCTAATTGGATTCTTCCAGTATGAATACATATTCTGATTCTGCACTGTGGTCAAGGGTCAGGACACAAACACGCATCTTCTCCGCCGGTACCATCCGAGCCGCGCCGGGCCCGTGCCGAGGCAGGCCGGTACGGCTCGGCAGGCGCCCAGGGTGGTTTTCCACTGCAGAAGCCGAGCCGTGTCAAAGCAAAAAACATTTTTGGAATAAAATGATCCCAAAAAATGTGGGAATTTTATTTATTTTACCTGCACATATATGCTGTCATGTTTTTAATTTTTTTTATACTTTATTACATTTTTATACATTAAAAACCGAACACGATGACCACCTCGTCTGAGACATCTGAAGTTACACAAGGTGCTCTGGTTTTCAGAAAATTGAGATCAACTCGAATGGGCCTGCAGCTGGATGTAACCACGAGATAACAAAAAACGCAACACAATCGTCAGTAATTCTGCATTAAAAGGAACCATAATAGGCAACTTTGCAGACAATGTCCCTTCTTAATGGCACAATGTTGTTCGCGGTTGAGCTGTAGAGCTGTCTGGCGCGTGTACGGTTTGTCTGTCTTTAGTTTGTTGTCCTTCCCCGCGCAGTTGACTACGTACGGTGTGAAAGAAGTTAAGCATACATACTGCAACTGGAAACCACGTGGTACAAACCCCGACATCACACCGGAGATCTCTCCACGGTGCCCGTGACCCCCTCCAACCATCCGCTCACTGCGCCCTCCAAACAGAGCCCACTTCATCAACAACTCATTCCGCCCTCCCGATCCTCCAGCGGTGCTGCCGTTACCCGTCAGAGCAGCCGCTGGCACGAGCAGCGCGGCAAACAGAGGCAGGCGAAGGCTCCACGTGCGGCGTGAATCCGGTGGCTCGGTGGGAGACGCAACTCGCCACGCACCCATCGCTCCGCAGGGGGGGAGCGCGTCGCAAAACCCAACCAAACCCCAACGCGGTTGGGTTGCGTGGAGGGCGATTCCAGAAAAACCTCAACAACCGCCGGGGAGCGAACGCGCAAAACTCCCACCACCGCCACCGCCGGGCACGTGAGCGGCTTGCGCGGGGATTAGAAGCGGTGGATTTGCTGAGCGTGCCCCGCTGATGCAACGTTGGCACTCTTCAGCAAATGACAGTCCGTCCCCAGCCTCCCCCCCTCCAGGTTTCAGGCTCCCGAGCAGAGGATGACCACGTGTACACACGCGTGCGTGTCCGGCGACGGAAGGAAGATGTGCAGAAAGTTGTGGTCGCAAGTCAAATCTCGGACATGGGCAGAATCACCCAAGTAGTTTTATGGTCGCGTGTTTTGTGGGCCCCAGGGGTGGATCTAGACACTTCGGTGTTCCCTAGGTGGTGTGGAGCAGCAGGTGGGAGAGGGGGCATCCCAACACGTCAACATTTTTATATAGGGTCCAACATTATTTTTTCTCAATATTAAAAAATATTCCAAATACAGACAGCCCTCGACTTACCAACACCCGCACTTGTGAAACAGCTTCCATAACATTTTTTTAAACATTCACTTAAAACGCGAACTCGCAAACTGAACCAAGTTAACTATTTTGTTTGGCAGTATTTGTTTTTACACTGTTACATGCAAATTTATAATATTTCTTATTTATGAGTTTAACAATGCTTCCCTTGTTTGTTGAACAGTAACACTGCCCATGCAGGAATTTAAATACGGTACATTGTGTTCCGATTTACGAACCATTTGACTTACGAACGGGCCACAGGAACGAATTGTAACCGTAAGTCGATTACTCTCCATCCTGTATAATAAAATACCACAACTCAGGGTCTAGGGTTGGCGATTGCTCTCTTTGACTCCCCTTGAAACTACTCTAATTTGCTAAGGATGCCACTGTCACCACACACCCAAAGCCACTTCCACAAAGCACACAACCACTACGTTTTGTTAAGACGTTTATTCATCAAAATTATCCGGCACACATGCAACATAAACTTATGTTATTAACGTGAGCTTCCTATGATGGAAATAATCGTTTGCTTTATTAAAACAGGTCACGTGAAGATTTCCCCAAATTATTTGTACAATTGCAACCAACAGGAGTAGCTCAGTATTCAAGTAAGAATGGTGTGTGTTGCAACCCCTACAAGAGATGGTATACTCCATGGCCGCACGACCTGAGCCACGAGTGTAAACCATTGGCCCCAGTTGATATGGAGTGTACCATGTTGTATCGGGGTGTTCTGAACCAACTCGCAATGTAGCTACTGCTGTCAAAAAAACCACACACACACACATGTATTTTAAACTGAACCAAAGGAATCAGAAAAGTTTAATAGATGAGCTAGTTAAAGGCTGTAATCCTACAAGGCAGAATGCTACCTGTCACCCATACAATATAATCTATAGCTTAAACCTCAACTGTATCATTTCCTTTATATTCCCGATAAAAAAATTATTTACAATTAACTTAGGATATGCAACATTCAGTGAGGAGAGCTGGGAATTTGGCTTGAGGCACACATGACGATATCTCATAGAATAACAGTCCTTACACATGAGCGCTTTCACACCAAACCGGCCAATCTGCTCACACAATTGGGACACCACAATAATCATCAGTCGGGGGGGAGGGCGGGGGCACGCAAATGCGTACGTTGAATTTCGTTCACGTCGCCCCTTGAATCCGAAACCAAACATCATCCCGAGAGAAACGAAAAAATGCTGTAACAATTTTCAAGGACATCTCTGAGAGGGCTCATGGGAAACGCAGATGGCATCAGAGAGAAACCTCTCGTCTTTCATTGCCATAAACCAACCAGCGCTCCCCGCTCCCCCCTCCAGTTGGAAATGGCGCACTCCTCAGCACTGCACACAACAATGCTGCTGCTGCACACGTTGATGCACCGTAAATCTGGCAATATTTACTTGACAACTTTAAGAACTTCACAAACTGCGTTCACTTTTTAAAGTCCTCTTTGATTGACCTTCCCCACAAGTCAAAATAGCGGCGGTGGATTGACCTTGCGGCCGTAATGCTCCGCCGCCGAGAATACATTGCGTACTCCCGTGGTGGTTCGTGCCTTATGCCGATGATCGCGACTGCCAAGCCAGCCGAGGAGCGTTCTGGCAAATATCGAGCTAGAAATTAAGCCGTCCCTGGAGGCCTCACTCCGCTAGAGCTTTGGAGTGCGCACATATAAAGTAATTAAGCCAAAGCTTTTATGGAATGCGCCATTTCCTACACAGGGGTGAATTTTAAATTCCCGCGGTTACCCTCTTTACATGATACTGTATCCTGCCCAACCTAAAGAGCTCCATGGGATATAAAAATCACTTATCATTTTCACCCAAGTCTTGACTACTAAAGCCATCATTATTACCCAATGCCACATCGACAAAACTCCAACCCAGAAGGCACAACACAATCAACTCGCAGGCTCGGAAGCGGACTGGAGCTTTCACGGGACATCTCGCGTGATTGTCAAACCACAAACGGATCCAGTGCCCCCCCCTTTGTCCGTTACGAAGTTCCGTCCGTGCAGCAGCCACCGCGGCCTCAGTCCTGGATACCGCACAAGAGGTTTGCAGGAACTGCACGGTCTGTGGAAGACAGGAAAAAATTAACCCGTAAAAACAAAGTTTTTCACTATAAATCCTTTATATGCATGTTCAATGGGCCACAACCCAGCCCACATTGGTCTTTGAAACGGGCGGCTAGAGTCCTCTCGTCCTCTGGCTTGAGATGGCTGCCACCTATGGGTCAGATGATTGCCTGCCACCATTAAGCAATTGGTAATTAAATATAAAAAAAATTCACCTAAAAAGTGAAAAATTTTGGAAAAAAATGTTTACGAAAATAAATTGTCACGCACAACGAGTCTGTGTGCAAAATGTCAGCTCGATTGGATGACGGGAAGTGGGTTAAAAAACGACCGAAAGATTTGCACGGTCGTAAGCGTGCAAGCAAGCAAGCAAGTGAACTTAATATAAAGGATTTAAAAATAAACCTCAGTGTGGGGTTTTAAGTCGGGTGCTGTGCTGGTGGCCACACGTAACCTGGCAACTTGGAGGAAGAGTTGATGAGACACACAAAGACAAAGCTCCCTCATATAGCTTTAACAGACTGTTGGGGCAAGTGCTGTTAGCGAGCACCTATGAAGGCCGGAACGGCACACGAGGGGGTGGATGGCCAGCACCACGCCCGACCGCCTTTGTCTCCCCAGTGGCGATGTTTACACACCGCACCAGGTACTCATTTGAGGCCGAGTCGAGCTAGGGGAGACCCAAGACTGGTTTAGATAATCATCACTGGTGTTGGCCGTGAGAGGGAATCGAAACACAATTGCAAGGTTGGAAGCGCGGCACGCTAACCACACACACACACATAGGGATGCAGCCAAAAGGAAACAGCAGTCCTAAAAATACAAACGCAGGGCATTTGTAGGAGACAGTGCAGCAAGTAGGTTGCTGAAGGCTATCGGTAAAAGCGGAATTGAGTGCAGGCGTTTCTGCACGCACGTCGGTTTCCTCTGATTAACAGCCCTTTCAATCGATCCACTTCTGCGTGGGTCACAGGAATTATTTGACCACATTTCACCATGCTGGTCGGTGTGGGTGTGTTAGGGTGGAGAGGAAAGATGTGGGAGCGTAGTACGGTACAACAACGGATTTTTTCCTGCACTGCCCTCTGCTGCCTACAGCGTAGCCTTTCAATACCAGTTGTTGTCCTACCCCTGGTTGGCGATGTAGGGTGCAAACAAAGTTCAGCATACACACAACAGTGCTGGGCTTTTTTTGCTGGCCGCTGGGAAATGTGGGCCTTTGGGCCTGTGGCGCTTATCTTACCTTAACGTCATTTATCGTGGCGCCTTAACCAAGGCACTTTACAGAGAATTAAGAACGGTGCATATGAATGCAATGGCGGAGATGAGGTGAATAACATAGAAGAGAGGAAGCAATCGGCGAATCTGTGATGCGTGAATTCGGTGAAAGCGAAATTGATGACAGTAAATGATGATGAATGGATTGAATGAATGAGGAATGAGTGATAGCCATATCATGAGAATATGAAGAGGGAGCAGTGGCGGTGGTGGTTATGAGCAGGAGATTAAAGGGGGGTCCGTGGGGTGAGCTAGGAAACAATAAGCGAGTTGAGTGAGGAGTGGAAATTAGTGAGCGAAGGCGACTGCTGAATGTGGAGGGGGAGGTTTGTTCCAGTGAAGGGGGACGAGAAGAGAGAGCGACAGCGTGGATCGACCACAATGAGCAGGAGGAGGAACAGAGAGAGAGAGACAGCAAAGATTGCGAGCTTAGAGGGGGGCCGAGAAAGCGACGCGTAGAAAGATACAAGAGTGGCGAGACATCGTGGAGTCAACTGTGATTTGTAAACATCAATAGACGCGACAGCGGGGATCTGGCCGTACCGATCTGCTTGGGCTTGGGCAGGTTCAAGTTGTTCATGAGTTCCACGAACTGGGGCAGCGGCTTGGTGAAGCGAGGGTTAAATTTCTTCTCCTCTGCCACAGTGCTCATTGTCTGACCTTTTGGGGGGGGGCATGGGGGGAGGGAGGGGGCAGCACAAGGGCAGGTCGATCAAGATGCCGTTCAAAGTTAATTTATTAGTTTTCGATTTAAAGCTTTCGTGACTGCAGGGATTCATCATCTTGGTTCTTAAAGTCACGTAGAAGGGAAGTAATAAAATAATAAAAATAAAACATAATAAAATAATTCTCACGACGTTTCGGCCACAACGCAAGCATCCGTCCTCACCTGAGGCCACAACGCAAGCAGCCATCCTCACCTGAGGACGGCTGCTTGCGTTGTGGCCGAAACGTCGTGAGAATTATTTTATTATGTTTTATTTTTATTATTTTATTACTTCCCTTCTACGTGACTTTACCGAAAGAACCAAGAAGATTCATTTATTAAGTATAGCCCTGTGAGCCACTCGGCTCTTGAATCGGGTGCAACCGCAACAAACAAAAAACTAAAACATGAACAAGAAAACATCTTAAAGTGACTATGTGACTGAATGCAAAAAGAAAACCCAAGAAAAGACAGCAAAATATTGGAGAAAAAAATCACCGTACACCAACCCTGTGCAAATATCCCAGTGGGATGCAAGTCAAATAACAACAACCACAAGACAACTTAGATTAAGGCCATCAGTCTAACTCTGT